ATTGTTGTTTGAGATAGATTTTTAAACCTTAGTTAAATGAATTATTAAAAGTCCATATATTTTTCAAGTTCTAAATGTGTAGTTATTGCTATTATAGTTGAGTTTACAGAAATTTTACAAACTAATGTTTGTATTAGTCCATTATCTTCAGAAGTCTCACTTATTCTTCATTTCTTGTCCCAGTACTTGGGTATCAGCTTACTCTTACCTGATATGTAGACATACTTTCAGTAGCACAATTGTGATCTTCCTATATTAGTGCCCCATTCTTTCTTTAAAATGTATCATTTTATTAGATGGTGGCGCACGCCTTTAATCCCAGTACTTGGGAGGCAGAGGCAGGCGGATCTCTGTGAGTTCGAGACCAGCCTGGTCTACAAGAGCTAGTACCAGGACAGGCTCCAAAACCACAGAGAAACCCTGTCTCAAAAAACCAAAAAAAAAAAAAAAATTATAAATTTTTGTAAAGTTATATCTGGGAAGTTTTTTCCCTTACACATGGTGGCTCAAGCCTTTAATTCTAGCACTAGGGAGGCAGAGATATAGGGATATTTGTGAGTTCTAGGCCAGCCAGGGCTACATAGTGAGACACTGTTTCAAGAGAAATTTTCTTGACATCTGAACATGGTGCATGCCTACAATCCCAGCACTCCAGAGGGAGAGATGGGAGGATCACAGGTACAAGGCCAGCCCGGCTACATAGTAAAATCAAAAACCGACAGGCTTTCTCATACTAATTTCAGTTGTGTTTATCCCAAGTCATGAACATGTTGTTTGAACAAGCTTGAAACTATTCTAGGTATATTTCTCATTTAACAATCATTTCTAGGAAAGCTGCCTAAGAATTATGACCCAAAAGTCACCCCAGATCCAGAAAGATGGCTACCCATGCGAGAACGGTCTTACTACCAAGGAAGAAAGAAGGGTAAAAAGAAGGACCAGATTGGAAAAGGAACACAGGGAGCAACTGCAGGGACCTCCTCTGAACTGTGAGTTGTGGCTGAGGAACAGAAGTCTCCCGAGTGTAGTTCATCTGACTCAAGTATTAGGAAGACTTTTGTTTATATGCTGTATGAGAAATACAGTCCTACAGCCTTGGTAAATATTTGCAGTATATATGAAAGGAAGAAAATACAGTGTTTGATTTTATTACAGATACAAAAACTATGTGATTTTATTGTTAAAAACTAACTATTCTAGGAGCTGTGAGAATGGCCCAGTAATGGAGCCCTTGCCTAGCATATGTAAGGCTCTGGGTCTAAGCCCTAGTATTACAAACCACAGACCAGCCTAGCAATCACATTTAGTTTTGAAACTAAAGATAATGAATCATTTAATTGTGTGATAGAGGAGTGAAACCTAGAAAGAAGAATTTAAAATGTGAATTTTTTTCTACATAGAATTATAAGTCATTTAAAGTTGATTTTTTAAAAAACTTATTAAATTTGTCATGTAGCACTTATTACATTTTCTTTAGTTTTAGGTGGTTTAAAAATATTCAGAAGAAATAGACAGAGGTAGGGTGCACCCATCCTTAAAGTGTGTGGGAATTGGGGCTGGAGAGATGGCTCAGCGGTTAAGAGCACTGTCTGCTCTTCCAAAGGACCCACGTTCAACTCCCAGCACCCACATGGCAGCTCACAAACTGTCTGTAACTCCAGTTCCAGGGGATCTGACACCCATGGCAAAACATCAGTGCACATAAAATTAAGTAATTATTTAAAAAAAAAAAAAAAGGAATAGTTTTAGGGAAGTATTAGGTGTGGAAAAGTGAAATCCATGCACATATATGCTTATGCCTTGTCCTATATTTCTAAATGACTAAAAGCCTTTCTGGTTGGTGATTTCAGAGATGCCAGTAAAACTGTGAGCAGCCCACCCACCTCCCCAAGACCTGGCAGTGCAGCAACGATATCTTCCTCTACAAGTAACATAGTGCCCCCAAGACACCAGAAGCCTGCAGGGGCCCCAGCAACGAAAAAGAAACAGCAACAGAAGAAGAAGAAAGGAGGCAAAAGTGGCTGGTGAAGACGTACTTGTCGCGGGCTGTTCTTAATCCAGTGCCAGTGACATTAGGAACATAATAAAGGTAACACAGCAAGACGCACAGAGCTTCCCTCCTCCATCCCTAGTCCTGAAATGATTTCTTATTCTTCAAGTGGGAAGACGTCCTCCTCAAACTATCTAATCAGATTTGGCCTACTTGTACCAAATAGCTTTACAGAAGACTGAAGACTGAGCATGAGGCACGCTATCTAAGGGTTCCCAGGATTGAAATGGAAACTAGTGTGAAGATGCGCGTTCCTATTCAAGTCTCACCTTAAGTTATGTCTTAGGAGGCTAAAGGTGGAATCTTCTGAGCATTCCAAGTATTTGTTTAGAGCTATCATGTGATGAAAAGGGATCTCAGTAAATGAGTGGCCAGAAAGACTCAGTGTCTAAAATAATTTTCACCATAAATCCTCTGTCCTGCGACACTGGAATTGGAGCTCTCGTGTGTATGTGTACACATCTGACTGGCTCCTTTGTACCCTTGTCATTTTCATCCTCAGATTACGTTAACATGCTGATTTAGTTCCATTGAAGACCTCAAGAAGATATATCAATGTTACAAGTAGTTGTCACTTAGACCCAGCGTTCTGAGGGCAAATGGGTTTGGGCTTCTTAATCAGAACATAAACTTTGACTTCTTTATTTTAAGAGGAAACAGGCGATATTGAAATTCACCAGAGCTTTTGGCCCAGCTGGTTCTCAGATGGCACCCCTTTCTTTATGGGACACGGCCTTTCATTACCTTCTTCAAAGTAATGTGGTTTGCAGTCGCTTTGTGGTGTAAATGTTGCTCTTGTCTTTCATGGCTAGCAGGCCACTTTCCTGCTCAAACAGTTGAGAGGCACACCTGGGTGTCTCCATGTTCAGTACTCGTTTATGCCACCACGCTATCATTCATTTTACACTTCTATTTCCTTGTGATCACATTACTCTGTCCTTGTTAATAAAAGTGCTGCTGTGTTTGAGCATTATCTCTGACACTTCTTCAGTGGGTCCTTACAAGGCTTTCCTGCCCTATGGGATTACAGATGGGGGCAGCTGAGAACGATTTACACAGCTCTCCAGAGAACAGTCTTGGTGAGACTGAGTACCTCTTACAGGAATGAGTGTCATTTAGGGTTCCATTACATCACCCACAGAATCTTCATGAGATTACTGCACTTTGAGAATTTTGGTCCAAGACACCATGGTGAGATACATACATACTCAGTAGCAGCGATTTGCATTGTCATTGCTAAGCCACAGAAAACCTCATTTCAAATACGTTATTTAAGTCTAAACTTCATCTGTATTAACATTCTGGTAAATATTTTGTTTGGGTATGCCTTTAACCAGTAGTTCTGGGTGTGTGTGTGTGCAGTATGGAAAGCATCCCTTCCCTGGAGTGAAGATGTTCCAGATGTTGGCATTTATGGCTCACTTCCTTACTGATATATCTAAGAATTTCTTTTAAACTGAATATCTAAAATTACCTCCTGTCCCTCCCAGCAAAACTACAAATCTGGTGGGATTGGGAGAACTGTTTAAACAATGACAGTCAGAGGCTGGAGAGATGGCCCATCAGTTAAAGCGCTAGCTGTTCTCCCAGAGGCACTGAGTTCAGTTCCCAGTACCTACCTACATGGCAGCCAAGAGCTGCCTGTGACTCCTGTTCCAGAGGATCTGGCACTACGTACATGCCATACACATGTGCAAGCAAAATACCCATAAACATAAAACAAGAAATCTTTTTTTTGTGTATTTTATGTAATCTTTTTGTTTTTTTTTAGTTGTTGAAAAAAATTTCTGCCTCCTCCCCGTTTCCCATTTCCCTCCCCCTCCTCCCACACACCGTCCCCTCCCCTTACTCCCCTCTCCCACTCCCCCCCAAAAACAAGAAATCTTACAAAGAATAAATCCATCCTATTGGTATGGGTATCAGTGAACAGTAGCAAATCTTTTGGTAAACGTTTTAAAAAATGGTTTGTTTGTTCTGATTTTATGTGCATTGATGTTTTGCCTGCATATTTGTCTGTGTGAGGGTGTCAGATCCCTTGGAACTGGAGTTACAGGCAGCTGTGATCTGCCGTGTGGGTGCTGGGGATTGAACCCCAGTCCTCTGGAAAAGCAGCCAGTGCTCTTACCCACTGAGCCCCTAACCCAGCATTTTCAAGGTAGCTGAAGATAGCTGACCTTAAAACCTGTCCCATCACTCAGGCCTTCCGGAACTTGCCATCTTTCCTGGCCAGCTTATCTGCAATCTGGTGAAAGAAAATCAATTTCAAGTAACTAAAGTTTTCCATATGGTGGGGGAGGGACAGGGTCTCAGCATGCTAGTCTGGCATTAAAACTTACTGTGTAGCTTCAGTCTGGACTAAACTCAAGCCGTCCTCCCTCAGCCTCCCCAGTGCTGGGATACAGGCACCCATGTCCTAATGTTACTCGTCATTTTTTTTTTTAACTGAGCAGGAACCTGGGGCCCTTACTCAGCAAGCACTCTCTCACCACTTATACCCCATCCCTAAAATCCTGCCTTGCTAAATTGTGAAATATTCCGAGTCCCACCAGAAAATATGAGAACCATGAGTTTCTCGACTAAAAAAAATGCCACCTCAGTCAGGGAGCGTAAGTCACTCCTCGGTGATTGGGAACGGGATCATTAGGTTTTGATATCTGTCCCCTGCTGTCATGACCTGCCATCTCTGTGCTGAATAGCAGCAGTTTTTGTTCCTACCCGTGGAATTCACATGGGATGGGAGCAGGGAGATGTGTAGCCTGTGTTCTGGGGTGGTGGTTGTAAGGTGGGGGAAGGTGAGGAGTCTTCTAGGGACTCTGGTGCCTTAGGCGTTCTTAAGTTAGGCACGGACTGGCAGGGCAAATTGGAGGTTGAAGCTGGGTTGCTGAATGAAACTGTAGGACGCATTTCTCCAGCACTGTCAAATCGTGTCTTCGTGCGCTCTGGAGCAAGGGGTACCTAAGGACCTCCAGCAAAAGCAGTCCACCTTGCCTGTTTCTCCCGTTCTCTGTTGAGGATTACCAGGTTCCCTTAGACTGGGCATCCTAGCATCCACGCCTTTCCCAGTTGTTCCTTCAGGCTCAAGTTCGACCAATCAGCTGCCAGCTCTAGACCAGCTAAAGCAAGATGCCAGACTGACAGCTGTGCTCACTGGCGCGGCCTGCGACCCTGTGACCGCAGGTGTGGCTTACGCTTGCTTTCTGGACCTACGTCTCCCTTGAGCCCCCACACCAGGGCAACACCTGCCAGGATCCAGGGCCGCGGTTCCTGCGCGCTGGCGCGCGGGAGAGAAGGGGAACAGCGGCGGTGGGGATGGAGAGAGGGAAGGCGAAGGAGAGGGACAAGTTTTCTTCGAGCAGTAGGGAATCAGTAAAAGCAGAGAAGGAAAAAAGGAAAGATGTGGACGTAAAAAGCAAAGGGAAAGAGACAGGGAAGGGAGAGGAGAAGAGGAAGGATGTAGGTCAGAAAAGCCACAGCGGGAAATCGAAGGAAGAGGAGAAGAGGAAGAGTGTGGACGCGAAAATCAAGGAGAACGGGAAGGAGAAAGGGAAGGAAGAGGAGAAAAGGAAGAGTGTGGACATAAAACTCCAGGGGAACGGGAAAGAGAAAGGAAAAGAAGAGAAAAAGACAAATGTGGACTTGAAACACAAGGAGAATGGAAAAGGAAAGGAAGTCAAGGAGGAGCAAGGGATGGAGAATGAGGAGGAACAGGTCACAGAAAAGGTCAAAGACAGCAGCAGCACCTCGATTAAAAACCCGCCGCCGCTGCCGGTAAGAGACCTGGGCGGTTGTGGGCATTCAGACCCGCCGGGCTCTGTTACGTCGTCCCCAAAGTACGCAGAGAACCGGATCTTGTCCGAGGGCGTCTGTCTATGGATGGCGGGGATGTGGGGGAATGTGCCAAGGTTCGAACGTATCCCCGCCCCCAACTTCACCCCTTCCGGCACCCGTTATTGTCTACTGTGGAGAGACCAGGGATCTCTTAATTGGTCCTCGTTGAACGCAGGGACCGGCTCCTGGCTCTGTCCCAGCGCTTCATACCAGGTGCGGACCACATAGACAATGCTGAAAACAGCACCGAATCCTCTTCCCAGCACGTGCAGTGAATATAGTCTTGGTTGGAAGAGATAGGGTTGGAAGAGATAGGGTTCCTGGACACGACAAGTACCTGCTGTGTTTGGGAGCTCCCGGTTCTTTTCCGCGGGCGTTGTAGTTACCATTTGCAGGGCTTTCAGAACTCGCCACGGGAGGAACGCAGATTGGTCTCAGAAGCCCAGGCATTGTTTTGGTCAGAAACGACTCTGTCGCTTAGTGTTCCCAGTTCCTTGACTGGTTCCTTGGCTCAGAGCCGCTTTCTACTTCTGAACAGTAGGAATTGTTAACGGAGACTTGATCCCTGGCAAAAGCACAGACTCGAATCATAGATGGAAGAAATAACTGTTACAAGAACAGTGATGTTCAGAATTCGATTTGAGTACGTAGCTAGCGGAGCGGTTTTCCCAGGGCGCGGCTTCTCCACTGCGCTCTGGATATGTAGGCCCCAGCGATTTCCCCTAATTCGAGGTACTGCATAATTTCTGGTAGTTGTGGACTAGGGTTAGATAAACGTAGAACCCAGGGCTTCAGCAGTAAACTACCATTGAGCTACACCTCAGCCCAAAACATATAGTGTAGACTAAAGTATAAGCAGAATGGAAGCCAAAGTGGGTGTGGAATTTCTAGGGAAGATAGGCCAGGGGCATGGTGAGGAGCAGGGGACAGATTTTAGCACAATATTTTCCTAAGACTTCGGATACAAGACTGTCAAAATATCACCAACCGGTATAAAATACGCCCTCATTTCAGCAGTGGGGGTAGTCTTCTTAGAATTGGTAGAGTAGATTAGGGTAGCTTGGGTAGGAATCACAGTGGCAATTGTAGGGGGATATAATCCACACCCCGCAGCCATTTCTTGGTGCCTCTGTCCCTTTAAAGAGTACAATCTGAACAACTTCCGCTGTCCTACTCCTTACCGTAGCATATTCTCAGAACAACACTGTAACACTTAGAACGGAAACGGAAGTAAGGACTTAGAATTTCATATCTAATGAGATATGAAATAGTCGTGAGAATCCCAATTCCTTAGGGCTAGGAAGTTGGCTCCGTGGGTGCAGTGCGGCTGGAGAACTTGAATTTGGATCCCCAGCATTCACGGAACACCTAAGTACCAACCTCTGGCCTAGCCGCACATGCACAAACAGAGGTTCAGGTGAGTGTACCAGAATACACCAAACAAATGACAATTTTTTATTGTTTTATTTTTATTAATTAATTTATTTATTTTTTTGCTCCAAGAACAAAAAACTCAGAGGCCTTTATAAATCATGCTTTTTACATTAAGTCCCTGTTCATGCCTTAAAACATCTTTCTTTCACACAGATTCCTTTTTTTTTTTTTTAAGCAGATGAGAGTGTTTCACTTCCGGCACTAGGGATATCAGGGCCACTCTGGGCTAGCAAATAAGACTCAAAATAAATAAATAAATAAATAAATAAATAAATAAATAAATAAATAGACTCAAAGAGCTGCACTAGAGATTCTTTGTTTTTCAAGGCAGGGTCTCTCTACATAGCCTAGCTGTCCTGGAACTCACTCTGTAGACAAGGCTGGCCTGGAGCTCACAGAGATCCACTTGCCTCTGCCTCCCGAGTGGGGTTAAAGGCATGAACCACCATGGTAATACTATTTAAGGTCACCTTTTGAGCTAGGTGGTAGTCTGCGTCTTTAACCCTAGGAGGTTTGACAATTTCTATAGCCTTAGCCTTTCTGCTTAATCATGATACTTGTATCAAAAACATAAGTGAGAGCTGGGTGGTGGTGGTGGTTCAATGCTTTTAATCCCAGCACTCAGGAGGTAGAGGTAGGTGGAGCTCTATGAGTTTGAGGCTAGCCTGGTCTACAGAGTGAGTTCCAGGACAGCCATAGTTGTTGCAGAGAGAAAAACAAAGCCTAAGAGAAGACCTTTGTCCTAATATTTTGTAGCTAAATTATCCAACTGCTAAGACAAGACAAATAAGAGACCTTAAAACCTTAAAGGCTTCCATGTTGGGTGCCAGCCATACTTGTGGCCTCACTCCAGTGCAGCTGCCAATAGATGATAACCCCAGGTGCAAACCGGGGTTCCGAGAAGGCTCAGCAGGTAGAGATGTTTGCTTTTGATCCCCAGGACTCACGTGGTAGAAGGAGAAAACCAACTCCTGAGAATTGTCACTTGGCCTCCATACGCATGCTGAGGTGCCCCTATGCATGAGTACACACACACACACACACACACACACGCACGCACGCACGCACGCACGCACGCACGCGCGCGCGCAATATGGAAACTGGTCCTGGTATCCGTAGATCTATGATACTGCATGGCACGTAAATTCTAAGATGTGTGTTCATGTGCATGCGCTGTGTGAGTGTGTGCGTGTATGTATGTGTACATGAATGCATGCGTGTGTGTTTTCATATATTTGTTGTCTGATAAACTGACAAGGAATTGGACAATAAAAAAAGGACCTGGGAGTGATGTCGCAGAAGTAGGGGTAGTTTTGGTTTAGACTGGTCAGCAATTCCGTGGTTACAGTTAGGCCCTAACAAGCCAGGCACGCTGTCAGAAGCCAGCCACACACAGCCCCGATGGCATGAGTTTATTGATAGATTTTTTTTTTTTTTAAATTTCAGGAGAAAAGTAACCAGATCCTAGTAGTAGGCCTGGATGGAGCAGGAAAGACCAGCGTCCTCCACTCGCTGGCTTCCAACAGAGTCCAGCACAGCCTGGCACCTACCCAAGGTTTCAACGAAGTTTGCATCAGCACTGAGGACAGGCAGATGGAGTTCCTGGAGAGTACGTTCTGCTTCTCATTAGCATCCATCTTAAGCCGGAAGCAGCGTTATCTACTGACACTGTAATCTTGAGAGAAGTGGCGCGGGATGCGATTCTTTTACACTTTAGGAAGATGCGCGGTTTAATACTTAGGTGCTCGGAGTGGGGGCTGGGGAATCCACTTCCCGCTGTTTGGATTTTCTCCCGTTCCTGCAGTGCTGGCAACAAAGGAGGCTTAGAGGAAGGCTAAATTTAGCATACCCTCCTGTGATCTCCTGTAATCATCCTTCACCTCCCCTCACTGCTGCAGAAACACGGCCATCTAAGCAACTATAAGGGGCGTCCTTCTCAACAACAGAACCGGGTGCAGTCCCAAACCTCTTCTAGTAAGCGGACAGTCCCAGTCTCTACCGTTCGGCAGTACTGCCCCCACCTCACTAATAATGCAGTTCCCAAAGTCAGATCAGGCCTCCAGTCTTCCCGCTCCACACCCCCACACAAGACATTTGTCCTCATGGCCCTAAATATCATCTTAGAGGCACCCAGAATTATCTAAGCAGTTCAAGCACTTGAACTCCCACTTGGCCTTTGAGACTTACTGTGGTCACAAAACAAGCAAAGCAAGCATGATTTATCCCCTGTCTGTTCCTTTCCCTGTAGTCCATGGCCAGTGCATGGGGGCTGCTCTTCCACTAGGTGCTCAAGGGGGAACTCCGCGCATCACCCTTGACAGTCTTTCTCTATGGCATCATTCTGCAAGTCAAGCACTGAGGTTTTCTGTATCCAAAGCATGCATCAAATGTATAAGTTTTGTCCTTTTTGGTTTGGCTCCCACATGAGAAAAACCTGCCCCTCTCTTCTCTTCCCAGGCACCACAGTCAATTGTGAAATCTTTGCTTTTGTCCAGACTCAGAGACCACTATTTTAACACACTATTTAAACTAAGCATTTGCTAGTTTAAAAAGCCTTAATGATTGGTTTATCCACTTCTAGATAATTCTTAGCTCAGAGATAAAGTGTTATGGAAAAGTAAAAAGATGGAAAACTGAGTCATTGTTAAAAAGCACCGTGAAGCCAGACATGGTGTTACAGACCTGTAATCTGAGCACTTGAGAGACCGAGGCAGGAGAATCGTGAGCTAGAGGCTAGCCTGGACTAAGTAGTAAGACCTTGTTTCAAAAACTCCAGAAACAATGACAAAAAAAATCTACTGATGGAAAGGAGCGGGCCAAGAAAGTGTCGAAAAAAAACAATAACAATAAAAACAAAGGGGGAGGGTGAGAAAATCACTAAGAAACCAGTGAAATGGGGAAGAAAGACACAATAGCAAAGGTCAGAAAAGTCCAAAATTAGTATGTCAAAAACATAAACAAAATAGACAAACTTCTGGTAAAATTTATCAAGAAAATCTGTAAAGCACAAATAAACAATATGACTGAAAAACCAGCTTGTCACCGGTTACACTGACAGGAATGTAGCATTCCCATGAATGCGTCAATGGTTTTGCTGGGTAGAGAGATGGCTCAGATAGCATGTGCTTCTCTTGCCAAGAACCTGAGTTCAGTTCCCAGCACCCATGTCAGGCAGCTCACAACTGCGTATACCTCCAGCTTCAGGGGACCCAGTGCCCTCTTCTGGTCTATGCACAGGCACATAAACACACGGCATACATTCACAAGGATACCCACACACATTCACAAAAATAAACATTAAAAATTATTTTAGAAGCCAGGCATGGTGGGCCATGCATTTACCCAGCACTTGGGAAGCAGAGGCAGAAGCAGGTGGAGTTTGTGACTTTGAGGCCAGTTGGTCTACATAGTGAGTTCCAGGACAGCCAGATCTACATAGTGAGACTATCTATCTATCTATCTATCTATCTATCTATCTATCTATCTATCATCTATCTACCTATCTACTTTATCTATCCATCCATCCATCCATCCATCTATCCACCCACCTACCCACCTACCTACCATCCACGTATCTATCTGTCTATCTATCTATCTATCTATCTATCCATCTATCTATCTATCTCTATCATCTACCTACCTACTTTATCCATCCATCCATCCACCTACCTACCATCCATGTATCTATCTGTCTGTCTGTCTGTCTATCTATCTATCTACACACATATATTACTAGAGTGGCACACAATTCAGCCTACCGACTTCCATTATCTTAGTACCTTATGCCCGTTTTCTCAGTTATGCTGGATGAACAAGCAGCAGCTGGCTGTTCTTCTGTGTCTATACGGCACAGGGAGACATCACTGGAGTATTTAGGATCCCCATACTGATACTTTTGTGTTCTGCTTGTTTTTAATTTTATGTTTGTTTGTGTGAGACACTGTCGTGCTATGTTGGTTGGCAGGCCTCAAACTCAAAACAGACCTCCTGCTTCACTAGCCTGAGTGCTGGAATTACAGGCATGAACTGCGCGGCCTGGCTTTTCATGATGATTCTTTTTTTTTTGTTTTGTTTTGTTTTGTTTTTCTAGACAGGGTTTCTCTGTGGTTTTGTACATGCTGATTCTTTGTCATTCCTGGATGAGTGATCCACCTCTGAGGGACAGTGATTCCCATTGACCAACGATTTCCCCAGTAACATTCCTCTGGCCACTCAGAGTCGCCTACAGTGTAACTCAGTGACATGGACCAGAGCACCTGGCCAGTATGTCCTATAGTCCCCCTTGGGGGCCATCCCTGTGATTTTAATTCATTCATTCATGTGTGACTCCTTCCTCTCCCATTCTCTGCAGTTGGCGGCAGGGAGCCATTCCGTGCCTACTGGGATATGTACCTGCCTAAGGTATGGCTGCTGATCTTTGTGGTAGATTCAGCTGATCACAGTCGATTGCCTGAAGCCAGGAGATACCTTCATCAGCTGATTGCGCCAAACCCAGGGCTCCCTCTGGTTGTGTTTGCCAACAAACAGGTAAAAAGCTCTGCTAATCTGGTGTTAGAGCACCTTGCCTCGCTTCCAGGCAAGTCCACACCAAAACTAGGTTAATGGAACCTCCACTCAATAGTTTCTCATTATTAGCACAGACATGTCTTATTTTAATAGGTAGATAATCAAAAATATACTGCATATTCAATTTATTAGGTCTCCTGGATTATATACTCTTTCAATGTAAATATAATTGTCTTGTGTCCTTTAAGTACTTGAATTGCCTAGTCTGTTGCCTCATGAAGAAATAGAATTGAACCATGTATATTGAACTTATTTCAATAAACCAATACTGATTGTTGATTTAATTTGACACAATTTTGAGTGGCTTCTATGTATAGAAAAAGAGTTTTATTTTAGATCAGTTACACTTGACTGAATTTTTTTTTTTTTTTTTTTTTGGTGCTTGCATCAAAAGCAATTAACGTTCATGGAGAAAGCTCGAAGCTTTTACACTGTCCTTGAAAGTGCAAGCAACTATGAAAAAAAGAAACAGAACAGAATTCCTGTATCACGCATCAATTCTACGTTTTTTATATACCCCAGATAAATGAAACCAGGGAGCCAGTCTGCTCTTATACACTTATGTTCATGGTAGCACTATGATTACAACAGCCGCAGGTTAGAAGCTAGAAGGGTCTGTCCGCTGATGAGTACATAACGAAACGTGGTGTGTCCACTTTAGCCTGCAGAGGGAAGGAAGTTCTACCGCATGCAACCACACGGATGGACCTGTGGATACTATCCTAAATGAATGAGCTAGCCACAGGGGGACAGATGCTGTGTGGTTCTGCGTATAGAGCGACTTCCCAGAGCCATCAACTCTGCAGTGGATAGAGTGACTATGCTTGTCAAGGGTTATAGGAGGGAGGAAAGTGGAGTTAGCTTAGGACAGCTAGAGCGTCAGTGTAGCAAGATGAAGAGTTGATGGTGATGGTTTAAACCACTGTGAGTGCATTTAATTTTACTGAATCGCACAATAAAATGGTTAAATTTTGTTATGTGCACTACTATTACAACGATGACAACGACAATGACTACACACACACACACACACAGACACACAGACACACACACACACACACAACCTTTAGGTTTCCAAACACTGGAACAGTAATTCTCTCAATTACTAGGTCTGCCAACCAAAAACTCGATGCCTGCCTTCCCTTATGTCGTCTATGAGTGGGATGTTCATGGAAGCAAACTAAATGATTACCATAGATCTTACTTTATCAGAAACCTTGATTGACATTAAGCATAGAGGCTGGTCCAGCGCATTTTGGTGTTGTGTTGGCATTTCAAAGAGAAAGGTTGATGATTTGTTTTTCGTTTTTAAGTGAAGTATCTTAAAACCACAAAGACTCAGGGCCTGAGAGATGTAGCCCAATGATAGTGAATCTGCTTAGCATATGCGAGGTCCTGGGTTCAACCCCAGCAGGCAGTAGGTGAGGGTACTGCAAAGATTTAGAAGTTCCTGTACACACATTTGACCCGCGTGGCATGCTGGTGGACTGTAATCTGGCCTTTCTCTTGTTGCTGGTCATTTTTATTATTCCCAGTTGTTTACTGTTACAAGGTTGCAGTGAGCTTTCAAATGCGTGCGCCCTTGTATCCACCGATGCGTGTTTCTCGAGTGTGCAGAAGTGCTAGGTTTTTGGATTTGCAAATATTTTTATTGGATATTCCTAAATTGCTTTCCAAAGTCGCACTAGTTTACTCTTCCGTTGGGAGATGACAGTTATTTGAAGCTCCACCCCTTCATTGGGACTAGCCGTTGTCACAACCATCCGTTTTGCCAATGTGTTGTTCTTATGATCCTTATTTATTTGAAGTGTTTATTGCTGGCTGAGACCTACATCCTGTTTGCTCTTGTTTTCTCACCTCCGATTCTTCCTGTGGGAGAGGTGCTGGGAACGAGAGCCGAGGTCTTTTGTACTAAGCATACTGTTTACCACAAAGATGGGCTGGAAGCCTCTACCTTTCCTGTTTGATATGTAAGGGTGCTGAATATTTTTTTTTGCAAAATTCCCTTGGTTATATGCATCACTAACATCTTCTCCAGTATCTCAGTGATTTTCATTTTGCTTTGCTTATGGTTCCTATTTTTACATTAGAGACTCCCATTTCTCTTTTTAAGACATAGTTCTTCATAGGTCTCTATATAGTTTTGACTGCCTTGGAACTTGCTCTGTAGACCAGGCTGGCCTTGAACTCACAGAGGTCTGCTTGCCTGTTTCCTGAGAACTAGGATTAAAGGCATGCACCACCACAGCCTAGAGAGATTTTCCTTTCTAATTATCAAATTTATCCAGTCTTTCCTTTTCTGGTTTGTGTGTCTTGTCTTCATCAAATTGAATAAACAGAGCCATTGTCAAATTGAAAGTTTTTATGTAATCTTGGCTGGCCTGGAACTCTTTATATAGACTGGGCTGGTCTTGAACTCATAGAGATTTACCTGTTTCTGCCTCTTGAGTATTCAGTATACCACTCCACCCAGCTAAATTGAAGACTTTTGCTTTACCTTAATGATAAAAGACTTAGCTATTCTTTTTTTTAATTATAATTAAATTTATTCATTTATTTTACATCCCAACCAAAGTTTCCCCTCCCTGTTCTCCTCCCCCCCCCCACCAACTCCACTTCAATCCACTCCTTCTCCCATGGGTGAAAACAAAGAATGGCATACCAAGTTGAGGTAGGACCAAGCTCCTCCCCTTGTACTAAGGCGGGGCAAGGCAACCCAGTACTAGGAATAGGCTCCTGGTAAATGTTAGGGACAGTACCTGCTTCCACCACCAGGCGTCCCACGAGCGGATCAAGCTACACAACTGTCACACTTAGAGGGCCTAAGTTGGTACCATGCAGGCGCCCTAGCCATTGGTTCAGAGTCTGTGAGTTCCTATGATGCTAGGTTAATTGTCTCTGTGGGTTCTCCCATGATCTTGACAAACCACTCCCTATCCTCCCACCCCACCTCCCCTATTCCCTTCCTCCCTCTTTTCAACAAGATTCTCAGAGCTTGACTCAGTGCTTGGCCCTGGATCTCTGCATCCATGTCCATCAGTCACTGGATGAAGAAGGTTCTCTGACGATAATTGAGATTGTTACCAATCTGATTACAGGAGATGACCAGTTTGTGTTACCCATTCACCATAGCTAGGAGTCTTAGCTGGGGTCATCCATGGGAGTTTCCCTTGCACCAGGACTCTACCTGACCCCAAAACACCCCACATCAAGATGTCTCTTTTATTAATTTCCCCTCCATCCACCCCCCAACTCTGTCTCTTAAGTTCCCATCCCCACTGGCCCACAGTCCACCCAGGAGATTTCTTTCTATTTCTCCTTCCCAGGGAAATTTGTGTGCCCCTCTTGGGGCTCCTTGTTATCTAGGCTCTCTGGGACTGTGGACTGTAGCATAGTTATCCTTTATAGCTAATATCTACTTATGAGTGAGAACACACCATCTTTGTCTTTCTGTGTCTCAGTTACGTCACTCAAGAGGATTTTTTTTCTAGTTCCATTGATTTGCCTTCAAATTTGCTGATGCCTTTGTAACAGCTGAGTAATACTCCATTGTGCAAGTGTACCACATTTTCTCTATCCATTCTTCAGTTGAGGGCCATCTAGGTTGTTTTCAGGTTCTAGCCATGATGAATAATGGTGAACATAGTTGAGCAAGTGTCCTTGTGGAATGATTGAGCATCTTGGGTATATAAGTCTTAGCTATTCTAAATTAATGCGTATTTGCTTGTATTCTTTTGTGAAAATATTTAGTCTATGCTTTTAGATGAATCACTAGGTCAATATATTACATCAGGGGTTTCAAAAGGTTATCTTAGCTGGGCATGGAAGTTCATGCCGGTAATCTCAGGAGTGGAGAGCAGAGACAGAAGGATTGCAAGGTCAAGCCAGCTTGGGCTAGATAGGGAGGCCTTGCATATAAAAAATGTTATCTTATTTTCTTTATTCTTTGGGTATAACCTTAATTTCTACCTATACTGCCTCCTCCCTACATCTTCCTTTATAATTTCTTCAGTAGATGTATTAACCTGAGACATCATCTATATACTATTGTATTCGTTACTCTGTCACAGAAGTCTCTAAGGGCTCAATGAATAACATATTGTGATTACCAACACCCAGTCACCATACATAGCCCACCAGGGGGAACCTCGTAGACTTCCAGGGCTGTGGAGCTAAAACAACATACATGGACCTCTCTACACCCCACCAGTTTGCTAATAAATTTTTGATCTGAAGAAATAATAATAGCAACAAAGAACTCACAAATGATAAGTATGAGAATCAGTAAAATATGGGCAAAAAGTAATTGATAGCTAGGCGGTGGTGGCACACACCTTTAATCCCAGCACTCAGAAGGCAGAGGCAGGTGGCTCTTTATCAGTTTGAGGCCAGCCTGGTCTACAGAGCAAGTTCCAGACAGGCTCCAAAGCTACAGAGAAATCCTGTCTCAAAAAAAAAAAAAAAAAAAAAACCAAAAAATAAAAAAAGTAATTGATGAGTAGGGTATGATGGCATACACCTCTAACCCCAACAGGCGTACGACTCAAAAGTTCAAGCCCAGCTTAAGTCTCACGGTATGTCTCTTTAAGAAAACCAACCAACTCCTTCCACTAACAAAACACACGGGGGGGGGGGGGGGGAATGACTGCAGGAGCCAGAGACCAGCCAGGACCAAACAAAACAGCATCTTTCCACTTGCATGCACTCACTGACAGCAGTTGTGGTTGCCTGCACAAGATGTGCACAAGATCAACACGGAGTGAGTAAGGGTTCGTGAGCCCCCCACCCCCACCCAGCTGAGACGCTATGGACAACTGATGGCTTCTGGGCTAGGGACAGTCAGTGTTCTCTAAAGATGTGGCCTCTATAGGTTGACCACCCTCCAGTGGATGGCCTCATTCATACCCACGATTATACAGGCAACACAGGACTTAGTGAGTTATAAAAAGAAAAGGAAGCATATAATTGAGAGAGGGCATAAGGCTGAGGATGGATATAGAGGAATTGTGGGAAAAGTAAGGAGGGGATATAATCAACGTAGATGGTATGCCTGTATGAAATTCTCAAAGAATAAAAATAGTACATTAAAAGCAATCAAATGCATGGTGGTGGATGGCTTTAATCCCAGCCCTTGGGAGGCAGAGGCAGATGGATCTCTGGGAGCTCGAGGCCAGCCAGTTCTACAAAGTGAGTTCCAGGACAGCTAGGACTGTTACACAGAGGAACCCTGTCTCAAAAAAACAAAACAAAACAAAACTAATCAAACAACCAGATAAAATGATGAATCAAATTTCTCTTGCTGATATAAATTCTTAATAGTTCTTCATATTAAAATTATCTTAGAAAAATAAACAGATTGATGGTATCACTTAGAAAATTCAGTCCTGCCAGGTGGTGGTGGTGCACACCTTTAACCCCAGCACTCAGAAGGCAGAGGCAGGTGGCTCTTTATGAGTTTGAGGCCAGCCTGGTCTACAGAGTAAGTTCCAGAATAGTGCAGTTTACACAGAAACCCTGCCTCAGAAAACAAAAACAAAAACAAAACAAAAAAAAAAAGAAAGAAAGAAAAGAAAAGAAAAATTAAGGTCTTTGGTGGGGGGCAGAAAGTACTTTTTGATAAGTCAGAGATGCTGGAATAATTCTGATAAAAATGTTTCTCTTCACCAACTCTGGAGTCACAATAGCAAGTTTCAGTATTTTCTGCATTAAATGGTAGAGTCATTTAGAATAAGGAGGAAATATTTCTGTCCGACAAGAATGCAGACTAACAACGTGTCCTCTTCTCTCTCCATTGTGGGAAAAGGATCTTGAAGACGCCTACCACATTATAGACATCCACGACGCCCTGGCACTGTCGGAGGTGGGGAGTGACAGAAAATTGTTCTTGTTTGGAACTCAGGTGACTGAGAATGGCTCAGAGATCCCCTCCACCATGCAAGATGCCAGAGACCTGATTGCACATCTGGCCGCAAATATGTAGACGTTGACTAGGACCCGGCCCACTCCTCAATTCACCATCAAACTGTCATCAGAGGGCTGAATGGCAGGCAGGCTTAACCCAAAAGTTTACACCTACAATAAAAAATAAGCCATTTCCTATTCTCTCAATGCAAAGTGTATATACGAAGAGAATGCTCATTTATTAAGATTACATTTTTATTTTTTTTAGATTTTTTAACTTTAAATTTTTTTAATTATTTTGTTTGATGGCAATTTGGATTTTTGCTTGTTTTGGGTGATGAGAGTTGAGCCCTGGGCCTCACGTATGTTAAACACACCATCTACCGTGGTGCTATGCCCACACACCTGGATGAGGGTTTTAACTCAAAAGTAAAGTTCGTATTAGCAAGCTTTCATCCCACCTGTGGTTTCTCTTTATGTTTTGTGTATATGTTCATGTATGTACATGTAAGGTCAGAAAGGTGCCATAAATCTTGTATGCACTTTTGCTTTTTGTGGTTTCTGTTGTGGGACAATGCTCTTGTACACTGTAAAGAGTTGTCACTCATATTAGTTTAATAAAATGTTGATTGACCAGTAGTCAAGTAGGAAGTGTAGGCGGGGTCACCAGACTAAGGAATTCTGGGAAGAGGAAAAGCAGAGAGTCCATCCTCATCCAGACTCAGAGAAAGCAAGATGACAATGCTGCATTGAGGAAAGGTACCAAGCAACGTGGCTAAATATAGACAAGAATTGTGGGTTAATCCAAGTTGTAAGAGCTAGTTAATAATAAGTCTGAGCTAATAGGCCAAAGAGTTTATAATGACTATAAGCCTCTGTGTGTTTCTTTGGAACTGAACAGCTGTGGGACCAGGCAGGATAGAAACTTCCACAGATTATATATAAGGATGGGGGTGTAGGTGACTGCTTTGTTGAACCCAAGTCTTTTAGACACAAAAGCAGTCTAAAACTACTATGTGAGTTTCTCTAGCCAGACTTGACTGATAACAGAGACCAGTGGCCACTCCCTACTAAATTCCTCAGCAATTAACCCTCTGCGCAAGCTTCTAACCTCAGTTTATGATACACAATTCAAGGCTTATCTAACTAACTGTTTTAAGTCCTAAAATATATATGGAGGACAAGAACAACAACCAGTTGCCCAAGTCCAGAGAGAAACAGCTTTACATGGGAAAATCTCTCAGATAGCCAGGGCTACAAAGATGGTCTGGCCTCACAACCTTGAATTAAAAAGTTACAAGTTTCCCTCCTTGTGCTCTGGGGCTGCACGCAGGATAAGAAAATGTGCTTTTAGGTTTGGGACGCCTGGAAAAATGCCAAACGCTATGCCCCTGGCCTCAGGTCACAGCCTATATACCAGGAACTTTGAAGCCAGGAGTTACCATGGTTACTCACTCCCCTCAGATGTAGCTTTTGTAACCTTTTTTTGTTGAAAGAAGTTTGTTGTTGAACCGGTACATATAAGCTAGTTGAGCAAAGAAGCTGGAGAGAATGGGAACAAGAGAGGAAGAGCAGGAGAAACTAGAGCAGAGAATTAGAGGGTTGAAGCTGCAGAATGAGAGTGGGAAATAAAAAGAGCATGACCTTCAGATCATGGATGTCTTTTTCCTTTAGAAAGATTGGAAATTTTCCTGAAGTCCTCACTGCTCTGAAGGCATTCTTTTCTGCAACCTTGGTGAGTTCTGGGAGCTGGACTCCCGGGCTGCGGCACCCAAGGTGTCCTCTGGCCTCCACATGTGCAATGTGGCAGTTATACACGCACACACACAACATGTAATAAAATCTTTATGTGTTGAATGTTTTGCCTGCATATCTGAAAGTATACTGTATGTGTGGCTAGTTCCTGCAGAGGCCAGAAGAGGGTGCTGGATTCATTGGAACTGGAGGATAATCCATTGGGAGCCATTACTGGGTTCTCTGCAGCAAGCGGTCTTTTTTTTTTTTTTTAAGATGTTTGTATGTTTGTGTGCCTGGGTGTAGGTATGCACACCACACGCATGCAGGAGCCTGCAGATGTCTGAGGTATTTGAGTCCCTGGAAATTAAGGACCATTGCGAGCCACCATGTAAGTGCTGGGAACCAAACCCAGGTCCTCTGTAAGAACAGTAAATGCTCTTAAGCACCGAGTCATCTTTCCAGGGCTGTATGCGGTCTTCACTGATGGACCAAAATGTAATCAGAATCCTAAAGAATACTTTTGAAGCAAGAGATTACCTGATGGATACATACACACTCTAGAATGAGTCTCCTAGTTCCATTCCAGATAACTTCCACAAAAACGTTTTAATTTTCTATAGGACAGTGAATTGTAAACGGTGCCTTCAACCATACATTTTGACAGATGATTTATTCCTTAACATTTAATTCCGGCTCTTGAAGGTAAACACAAGACTGAGACGGCACCAATTCTGCTCTTCTTCCCCATACTACTATGGCCATGAAGATGAGTACTTTCCAGGCGCTCTCTCTCTCTCTCTCTCTCTCTCTCTCTCTCTCTCTCTCTCTCACACACACACACACACACACACACACACAGAGGGGGAGGAGAGGAGGTTGAAAATATGGCTCATCACTTAAGAGGGGCACTGCACTTGCAGAGAATCCCAGTTTGAACCTAGTTCAGTTTCCAGTTTCTTTGGCAGCTGCTAACTGCCTGTAATTCCAGCTCAAGGGGATCTGATGTCCTCTTCTGGATTCCATGGGTTCTAATACTAACAAGAGCACAAACCTACACAGGCACATAATTAAAAAATAAAAGTAAATTCTTTTGTTTTGCTCTTTCAAGACAAGGTTTCCCTGTGTAGCCCTGGCTGTCCTAGAACTCGTTCTGTAGACCAGGCCAGCCTTGATGACCTCAGAGATCTGCCTACCTCTGTCTCCTGAGTGCTTGGATTAAAGGCCTGAGCCACCATCAATCAGCTAAAAGTAAATATTTTTAAAAGACACAGAGAAGACGGCACCATGACTTACCCCTATAACCTATCACTTGAGAGGCTGAGGCAAGAGGATTGCCACAAGTTCAAGAGTTCTAGACCAACCTGGACTAAATAGTTCCAGGCCAGCTTGAGCTGCGGAGTGAGCTTGTCTCAAAAGTCAATCAACCAACCAATCAATCAAACGAAGAAAAAATGTTGGGGACAAAAGATGTAATGAGAGGAAATGGAGAGAGAGAGACACAAAGTCACAAAATAATCTGTCAGAGGTGTCACTGTGAATAAATCAACACAATTGTGCTGTTCACAAGATTAATTATATGATTAATAATGTCTGTAGTGACACAGGCTAGGGGTCTTGAAATGATACAGTCTATAGATCTTGGTCAAGTTTGTGTTCTTTGCCAGGTAAAGAATTAACAGGCAGGAAAACCTGCAGCGCAAAAGATAGCAACAGAGGAACCTCAAGCATCGCAGACAGAATCAGCAGTTGAAGGACGGCATTTATTGGAGATGAGGAAACAACATAAGCAGACGCCCAAGGAGACCCTCGGCAAACCAATGGATTCAGGAAGCGGAAAGTCCGGTCTCTTTTTAGAGGTTGTGGGGTTTCAAAGCTCCTGAAGAATTTTCTTCCCTAATTTAGGTCATTTTGAAGAAAGCGAGGACGGTTGACTGGCATGTCCTGAGAGGTCGTGAACTTGTTGAGCAAGTCTCGGAAACCTAACCAGTCAGGAAGCAGAGAAGTACAGTGAGTTGTTGAGTCTTCTCAGCTCACACCAGAAGCAGAAGCAGCATCCCGCTCTCCAGGCTCTCTGTCTCCTGTGCGGCAACTAACAGAGGTGCACCCTAGGCTAGCAACGCGTCTCCATAGCAACCAGAGAGCCAATGCACTGAGATGATGGGCGGGGCGGGGAAGGGCGGAGCTAGTCTTCCGGGGACGGAGCTGAGCCTGTCTGGGGCGCGGCGCGGACGGCCCCAAATCTCTTGTCCGCGCCGCGGGTTGCGCTAGGGCTGCAGGCGAACAGTTCGTGCCCTGGGTACCCGGAGCTTCTAACTGAAATGGATGAAGGAGACGTCTCAGGTTCATCCGTGCTGTCTGGGGTGACTGATGGGCAGAACACGACAGAAACACACTCGGAACTCCACCCGAAGCCCCTTGTGCTCAGACTCCTGGAGGTGAAAGAACTTGGGAGGGAAGAGGTCGCAGGGGGTGAGGAGGAAAAACAAGAAGAGAGACATGAGTATGAGAACTTCACCGTGTTCGGTGAATCCTCCAATACTCACAAATCCCATGATGCCTCCACATCGTCCAAGTCCCGCAAGGCCAGCGATCCTCCTCAGTCCCTCAAGAGCAGCGATGCTCCTCAGTCACGCAAGGACAGTGAGTCCGTCCAGTCCCGCAAGGACAGTGAGTCCGTCCAGTCCCGCAAGGACAGTGAGTCCGTCCAGTCGCGCAAGGGCAGTGAGCCTCTTCGGTCACCGCAGGTCCACGCGTATGGAAAAGGCGACTTGCTTCCCAACGCAATGATTACGACCTCCCCATCTTTGATAGCCAGATACCTACCGCGGCTCCAGCTGGCTTCTTTGAGCGGTAGGTTTAGCCCCCTTCCCCCCCATCCACCCTTCTAGAACTCAGGAGTCTGGTGAAGGTTCACGAGTTTAAAGGAACTTGACTCTTGTGTCATCTACTGCTGCTTTGCAGCCACCTCTCTTTGTACTTCAAGGAATTCCAATGGGAAATTGACACCCTAATAATGACAGAGCCACCTCACCGCTTCCAGGATTGAACCTAGTACCTCACACGTACTAGGCAAGTGCTCTCGTCCCAAAAGCTCTTCGACTGAGCACACCAGTCTATCTTACTAGGTTACATCTCAACTAGTCCTTATTATTTTTTGTTTTATGATCTCTCTTTTTATTTATATTTTATTTATATTTCTCATATATATATATATATATTTTTTTTTGTTATACGATTTCTCTTACTCACCACCTAAAGACAGATCCTCAAAGGGAGGCTGTTTTTGTTAGCGTTTGGGGCTTGGGCCCAGGGGAAATGAAGCACTGAGAGAACAAGTGCTGGCAGAGGGCATGTAACTGTTCATCATCTGCCCAGTCCTTCTCAAACTTACAAGGTAACAAGGCTGGTGGGACGTAAATAAAAACGTCCTTGCTTTTTACCACTTAAGCCCACCTCCAACTCCTCCCTAGAGACTGTTGGCACTGGACCTGCAATCCTGTGGTCACACTAGGCATGGCTTCTCACCTGGCCTCAGTTACATGGTTCATCACTCCAGCCATCCCCTTACCTAACACGTCACTGGCTCTGCTGGTCCCCACACTCCTGCCAGATCTCCAACCCTGGGAAACACCAGCAGCAATCTATACGCTCCCAGCAGTTGACTCTTGCTAGCCAAAACTGCATTATTGTACTGATGGTTTTATTTCAATTTCTTTCTTTTTTTTAAGATTTTATTTATTTATTATGTATACAACATTCTGCCTCGATGTATGCCCACACGCCAGAGGAGGGCGCCAGATCTCAGTACAGATGGTTGTGAGCCACCATGTGGTTGCTGGGAATTGAACTCAGGACCTCTGGAAGAGCAGCCAGTGCTCTTAACCTCTGAGCCATCTCTCCAGCCCTTATTTCAATTTCTTTACTACAAATTTTAATTGGCACTGAGAACTCTCTGGCAGACTCCCCTTTATGTACTGGGTAAGCTGGTTTTCCTGGACTCTAAATGCATTCTTTCTCCTCCTCCTCCAACCTTCACACTTTTGTCCTTCACCCAGTGGGAGACTTTACTTCCTGCTTTATCAAGAAATAGAAGCAATCGGTCACGAGCTCACTTACATTTTTTGCCACCAGTTTTTTGCAACCAGTTTATTGGCCTCCCAAGACTAGTGTCATGGACGCTGCCTTTTCTCATCTTCCAGGAGAGAATTGTGCATTTTTATAAAAGCCGCGTTCCCCACGTATGCCTCAGATCCCACTAGTCTCCTAAAGAACCCTACACATCTCACTGCTCGGCTGCAGCGTTTTCTCCTTTTCTCATGAATCAGTCCCATGAAAAACAGACTAGTAGCCCGGAATAACCTTTGACCCCAAGCCTTCATTTCCTCCTCTTATTACCTTCTTAGCTCCCTAGGTAGGTCTCTTTCCCCTTTTACTTCACCAAAACTGCTTCATCAAAACTGGTGCCGGGCGGTGGTGCACACCCTTAATCTCGGCACTCAGGAGGCAGAGGTAGGCAGATCTCTGGGTTTGAGGTCAGTCTGGTCTGAAGAGCTAGTTCCAGGACCTCTAAGGCTACACAAAGAAACCCTGTCTCAAACAAACAAACAAACAAAAACCAAACAAGCAAGCAAAACAACAACAAAACCCAGCCCCTTCTCTGGTGTACCCTGTCCCACCACGTTCCCCACGTGCTGGTGGTGGTGGGGGACCTCATCATCCCTACATGTGAGCCACTGGGCTTCTCATTCTGATGCCCTCATTGGGAAGACTCTAGTTTTCACCCCATCTGGTGCTCCCCCTGCCCCTAGCTCCCCTCAACTGTTGTGTCATTCCAGAATTGTTTTAAGCACAGTCTCAAGCTATGCCCAATATTTTGAGCTCAACCTTGAGTCTCCTTTTACCAAAATTTAGCTCAGAAGGCACCTTTAGCCCATTGATTCTACTGATTTCCGATTATATGCCACCAGTCTCTGATGTTCTGTCCCTTCTTACCTCATCTTCTCTGACGTTCTATCTCTTCTTACCTTGTCTGCTGTGACCCACTTTTGTCCCTGTGCATATTTTAGTAGTGCTCTCTCTCTATCTCCCCCCACCCCCCGTCCCAGGCTGGTCCTGCATCCTCTTAGAACTGGGGTTACAGGCGTGTGCTGCCATGCTTCCCTAAGCTCTCTGGTGTAGACAGATATTACAAGAGGAAGATAGACAACTATGTGGATTGGTCTCTAAATTGGTCTCTGCACGTCAAGTGGTCTCTCTACAATGCTTAGCAAACCCAAACAACATCTCTAGACACTTCAGACATTGTCTGTGTTCAACTCTCGTTATTTCCCTATATCCCCTTCTTCCACATCACTTACACAAACATACAGCTGAGGTTGGGAGTGGGTGAGAGGACTCGTGTAAATATGGAGACTTGAGCTCAGATCTTAGCACCTATACCATTAGTGCGGCTGCACCCTCCTGTAAACAACAGTGCAGGGGGCAGGAGGAGGAGACAGACGGAAGGATCCCCTCTCTCAAAGGAATGAGGAGAACGACAGAACAACACCCAGCTATCCTCATCTGGCCACTCATAAACAGTGCGCTCACGCACACAGGCACTGACACACACATGCGCTCACACACACATGCACTCACACACACATGAACTCACTCACACACATGCATTCACACGGCACTCACACACAGGCACTCACACACACATGAACTCACTCACACACATGCATTCACACGGCACTCACACACAGGACTCACACACATGCACTCATGCATACACATGCACTCACACAATACACATGCATACACATGCACTCACACACATGCACTCACACAACGTGCTCATGCATATACAATATAAGCACTCACACACATGTATTCATACACGCATGCACACACAGGGGCACTTACACACATGCACTCATACACACATGCACTCACACACAATGCATTCACTCACACACATGCACTCATACACACACATGCACTCACACACACAGGAACTCACAATGTACTCACACATATGCACTCACTCACACAATGCTCTCTCTCTCTCACACACACACACTCATTTTTTTCCTCTGAAGTTCACCACAATACAGCACCTCTAAGTAACCCCTTTCTTCAGCCGATGGTGGGTGGACCCCTATCCTCAGACTGTGGTGGGCGAACTGTTTTTAACCTCTATTAATGGCCATTTCTGACTTCTATCTGTTGGATCTCATCTAACTCTAAAATTTTTTAACTAGTGTGGTGTGTGTGTGTGTGTGTGTGTGTGCACGCACGCTAATGATGTATGGATGTGGTGGGCGTGCGTGCCGTGGTGCTAGGGTGGAGTCAGGGCAATTTCTTAGGGCCTACTTGTATGTACATTCTGGGAATCAAGTTTAGATTAGACTCCAGGCTAATACAGCAGTCCCCCACACGCTGAGCCATCTCACCAGCCCACATCTACCCTCTCTCTGCTGCACCATTGTGGTCTTGTCTTTCTTGACTGTTCACATTTGACACACAAATATTACACAATTACTCCACCTGAAAATGATCACAAGTCTTCCCTAGCCCTATGGACCCTTCCCTTTCAGATACCACTCTATCTCTCTGCTTGACTTTAAAGGCACACACACACACACAATCCTCAAAATAGTTGCCTAAAAGTCAAGATTTCAATGTCCTCTTTTTCTGTCCTCTTGAGAACGAGTTTGATTAAGATTTCATTCTGCTCACTTAGCTAAAGCTGGTTTTGTTGAGGTCACAATGATCTCTGTCCTGCCAAGAGCGAAAGTGACCCCTTCATTTGACACATTTCCTTCTATCGTGGGACTCTTCATTGTTTCCTGGAATACTAATCCCTCTGCTGTCTTACCTCGTGGATTCGTCCTGACATTTCCTTTGCTCGGAGCCCTTCTTTTCCCAGCCTTTACAATGAGGTTACTGATGGCTTTATCCTCTCAGATTCTTCTAGAACTCCCTTTATTCTCTGGATGATGTCATTAGTTCCGTGGCTTAATTGCCAGTAGCTTCTCAAATTATAGCTTTTACTTCTCCCGCAGAACTCAGTTATCTAGCCTTCCTGCTTGACTACCCACAAGAAGCTCACTGTGTCAAACTGAGAGCTCTGAACCGTTAACAAATCCTAACTCTGAATTAAATTCCATGACCCTTCCTTAGCATCAAAAGTATTACTGTGTGCTGTTTTTATCTCTTGTGTAGTTCACCACACTGGCCTCCAGGTGGCACCCTGCTTTGTCTCTACCCTCCAATTCATTGTTCACATCCCGGTCAGGAGCGTTTTCTAGAATATATGTTACAAGCATATTTCCTGTTCTCCACCATCCCAGCGGTAGTTCCCATCTTATGTGGCGTGTAATCTAAAAAGCCTACCAAGCCTCACTTGGTCTAGTCTTGATCATTAACCCGAGTTTTGTTTTTAAGGTAAGCTTTCACGCAGTCCAAACGGGCTTACATTTCTATTCCTCGCACTTTCACCTCCATAGAGCTTGGGACTACAGGCCTGGACCCTGTACTTGGTTTACGATGGGCAGGGATGGAACCCAGGGCTTTGTGTAGGGCAGATAAGCCCTCTCTTCACCAGTGGAGCTACCTCTCCAACTCACTGACCTGATCAGGAACTTGACCTGGCCTGTCCCTAACTTTAGGTGTAGTCGGCATAATAACCAGGCTAGCTTAATATGAAACAGCAAATTTTAATGAAGAAATAGCTTACAACACCAGGGATCCAGCGATGAGCAGGAGATACAAAAAAAGAGAGAGCTGCGGGGCTCATGGGCACCAGATTTATATGTAAACATTAGCCCGAGGCAAACATGCCCCCCATTGGGCGGAGTTTCCCCTACATTTAGGATTTCAGGTCTCCTTATTGTTTTGCTCTCGGGGCACACGGGCACGGAGTCAATTTTCCTTCTGCTAGGAGACTTTCAAAGTGTGTGTTCCCTCATACAAAAAAATACCAGTCTTTGACCTGATAATTTTCTTTAAAACACATGTCCAACTCTAATATATGCCTCTGTGTTTGGCTCTTTACACTCTTATGAAGGCAGAACTCGGTGATTTTTGTTGGATGAAGAAACTCCTCAATGTCTTCAGTGTCATGAAATCCAGTGCATCCTTTGGTGTCCTGAGTGTTGTAAAAGATTCAGGGTTAATACCTGTGAGGGATGTAGAGCAGGTTTTTGTACATGGTAAGTGTACAGTAGACACTAGCCGTGGGAGTGTTGATGCTATCTTATTTAACCTCTTGGCAGTACACTTAGCTCTTCCTTTCTTGAAACAGACCTTCTCTTGTCCTCTGTAATAGTACAGCCACCTTAGTTTGTTCCTTGGATTTGTTCACTGACTCCTCCTCCCCACTGAATTCCCAAATTTTAATATGCACCCTCCTAATACTGCATCTTATTTGTTTGCTTAGAGACAACAGATTAGTGTGTAACTGAAACTGGCCTGAATTCATGATCCTCCTGCCTCAGGCTCCTGAGGGCTGAGATTACAAGTGTGTTCCATCAAGGTAAATTTCTTTTTCTGGTGTTCGAAATAGAATAGGGTCCTTGTGATAAATGTGCTATGCTTGTTTGTATGTCCGTGGATGGGTGTGCTCATGCCTTCCACTCGTTTGAGGTTGCTTATATAAACACACACAGAAATACGCCACAGGGCATCTGTTTTAAGACGAACAATGAACTCAGGGAGGGAGGCAAACACTAGCGGAGGAAGAAGGAGAAAGCGCAGCGGAGTTTCATTCCACCACTGCGAGCACACACACTAGCTTTTCTTAACCCAGCCGTCCCCTCTATCCTCAGCACATAGCACTCTTCCTGGTAGACTTCCTCCTTGTCTTGTCCTCACAGGTCACCGTCACCTCACAGGTACTCAGGCGCGGACTTCATAGGAGGCAGGCAGGGGCAGGTGGAGATTTCTTCTGCGTTGATAGTCCATCCTCATCAGAAGGATTTATCTGAGCATGACCAGTCCCGAATGTGAGTGCCTGGAAGAATCCCTCCAGAAGGTGGCAGTCTTGTCCGCCGATGGCTAAAGCCTGGTGCCAACAGCCCATTTGTCAGCCTTAGGCGGCTATGCTAGAAGCAATGGGATTCAGTGCTATGGGGGTGTTGTTGATTTTTTTTAACTCTTTTACTCTTTGGGGGGCCCTCCACCCAGCTCTCAAATAAATACATGGAGTCTTATTCTTACTTACGAATGCCTGGCCTTAGACTGGCTTGTTTCTAGACAGCTTTTCTTAAACTATCCCATCTACCTTTTGCCTCTGAGCTTTTAGCTTTTTCTGTTTATGTATATCCTTTTTTTTTTTTTTTTAAAAACTTCTTAATTTGTATCTGTGTGGCTGGGTGGCTGGTCCCTGGTGTCCTCTCTCCTCCTCCTTTTTCTTATTCCTTAATCCTTTCCCCAGATTTCTCCTCCTACTTATTCTCTCTGCCTGCCAGCCCCACCAATCCTTTCTCCTGCCGAGCTATTAGCTGTTCAGCTCTTTACTAGACCCATCAGGTGTTTTAGACAGGCAAAGTAACACAGCTTCACAGAATTAAACAAATGCAACTTAAAATAATGCAACACATCTTTGCATCATTAAACAAATGTTCCACAGCATAAACAAATGTTAACAATATTCTACTATAAGGGAGTAAAATTCAAACCCTGGAAATGGAGTGCTGAAGCTGGAATATTCTGATGGTCCCCGGTGGTAAGATGCTGCTGGAAGAAGACTGGTTTTCAGCAGTGTCTGAGAACCTGGAAAGGAGCTGAGTACGCACACAGGAGACTTTTCCTGAGGGTCAAAGCTTAATTCTTCATTTCACTTTCTCTCGGCTGGATGTTCTTCATTGTTCTTTTTCTGTTCTGTTCTTCTACCCTGATCACAACCAGACCCTCTACACTCAGATCTCTCTCTCCCTCTCTCTCTCTCCCTCTCCCTCTCCCTCCCTCCCTCCCTCCCTCCCTCCCTCCCTCCCCCCCCCCCCCCCCCCCCCCCCCCCCCCCTCTCTCTCTCTCTCTCTCTCTCTCTCTCTCTCTCACACACACACACACACACACACACACATTTGTTTACATTTGGTTCCTGGTTGCACTGAGGGATCTGAGACCTAGGACTGGTCCAAGGGTACATAGATCAACATGCAAAGTCAACTCAGTTGATCCAAAACCTGTAAACACACTTGTAGTGACTGGACTGGCGGGGCAGATCTGGCCTTGCATGGGAGACAGAAGCACCGCAGGGACAGGGGAAAAAAATTTTTTTGAAACAGGGTTTCTCTGTAGCTTTGGTGACTGTCCTGGAACTAGCTCTTGCAGACCAGGTTGGCCTCGAACTTACAAAGAACCGCCTGCCTCTGCCTCCCGAGTGCTGGGATTAAAGGTGTGTGCCATCACCGCCCGGTGACAGGGAAATGTTTTAGAGCCAGGGAGCAAGGCTATGTTTGTGCCGCAGGTCCACAGCTAAGAGGAAGAGCTGGGTGTGTAAAATCTTCCCTGCCTCCCCTGTTCTTCCATGCTGTTCTTCAGTCATGGCTACAGACATACTCGGGGTTCTAGCTGGAGCATTGAGTTCCGAGTGGAGAGAGCTGGATATCCTTGGGAAGAGCACCTAACCCGGGAGGCAGGAAGTAGGAATTTGCTCTTGGCCTTTCCTTAGTACATCTTCTGTCTAAGGAGTGAGGTGGGCGGACTGGACAGTCCTTATGGTGGTGACCTTTACTATTTAGAGTTTGTAGAGCTTTTGGTTTTTTATTTATTGGCTTATTTATTTTGTTTCTGGTGTTTTGTTTTTTAAATAAAGTCTCACTACAAAACTCAGACTAACCTCAAGCTGAAGCTGCTCTCCCCCAGACACCAAATGCTGGTTTTCCAGGTGTGCCTGGATACTCCAGTAGACCTATGTGAATTATGACTCAAACAAGGGCCTGCAGAGAGGCTGTGTATCAATACAGTTGTTTTCTCTGGATAGATTGTTGCCAAAGTGTGTTCAGCAACGTATTCTTGAATTAAATTTTGTTGCCCATTTAAATATATCAGCTTTTAGAGAGAAAACAAAACAGGCAAATGTGTATTCATAATTGTGTTTATTTAGCTGCCCACAGGAGACTAAAATGACACATTAAAGTCACTGACACAATTAGATATTTTCTTTTTCTGCTTTTTAAAAAAATCCAGTACTAGTCACAAGTTTTCTGTTTTCGAAACTTGTTTTTGTAAGATTCACACAATTACATAGTAGGCAATAATCATGCTCACCCCTATTATCCCCCACCAAGATAGGGACTTGGGTCCCTTGCCTCATCTCTTTTCTAACTTTGTGCTATAGTTTTTTGTTTTTGTTTTTTTTTAAATATTTATTTATTATGTATACAATATTCTGTCTGTGTGTATGTATTCTGAAGGCCAGAAGAGGGCACCAGACCTCTTTACAGATGGTTGTGAGCCACCACAGATGGTTGTGAGCCACCATGCGGTTGCTGGGAATTGAACTCAGGACCTTTGGAAGAGCAGCCAGTGCTCTTAACCTCTGAGCCATCTCTCCAGCCCTGTTTTGTTTTGTTTTAAATTTGTGGTCAGCATTCGAGTCCAGTTGGTGCTGTCCAAATGCTCTTGGCCATCTCCTGGGGCGAGAGCAATCTACCAGCTTCCCGTTCCCAAGCAGAGTGACTCTCCCTCTCTCAGCAGCTGTCCACTCCTAACACCTCCTCTGGTGGGCAGCATCTGGGGGCCCTCCCCCACCCACGCTGGAACTTTGACTGGTTTGATGTTACGCTGGTCTGTGCAGGTCACCCCAGCTGCTGGGTGGCTGTGTGAAAGAGCCATGTGATGCCCAGGAGCCAGCGAGTCCCAGCTCTCTTCCCCGTCTGCTCCCACGCGCATCCTTGGTGTTGTACAAAAATACTTATTTCTAGTATTTCTTGAGAAAGGTCTTTTTGTTGTTGTTTGCTTTTTCTTGTTTTTTTGAATCAAGCTGACATCTCTAGCGTCACTTTGAAGAGTTGAACACACTTTTTTCAGGGCACATGGTTTTTATTTTAGAAATCTTCAAGTATTAGCACTCAAAGAGTCTTACAGTGAATTATCATGTATCTAACATGCAGTTTCAACAGTGAGTAGTAGGTTTTGGAATCATGTTGGTTTCTGTTTTGTTCTGTTTTTGTTTTTTCAAAACAGGGTATCTCTGTCAGGGTTTCTCTGACAGAGCCTGTCTGGGAACTAGCTCTGTAGAGCAGGCTGGCCTCTAATTCGGGATCTACTTGCCTCTGTCTCTCAAGTGCTGAGATAAAGGCACATACCACCACTGCCCTACTTGGAATTTTGTTTAATTTGGGTATTTTCTTCATTGCCTCCTCCAAATTTTGTTCCCACCCTGTAGGACAAATTTGTGTTAAAGAAAATTATAGGCTCCATGGCATTTCACTCATACATACCTCTACTTTCTAAGGATTTAAAACTTCACAATAACTATGCCATTAACACCAGTCAAAATTCAGTAATTTTCCTAATGATATCTAATATTCACAATAAAGAGTCAAGCCTTTTAACTGTCTCAAAAATGCATTTATTTTAAAAAGTCATACATGGCAGTGCATGCCTGTAAGTTCAGGGCTAACCTGGGCTACCTAGGCAGATCTAGGTGTGTGTGTATATATGTATGTCTATATAATTTAAAAAATTATATATATAATTTTAAAAAATGGCCTCAAATTTTTAAAGAGTATTTTTATTTTTTAATTGTTCCACAGATAATTAGGGCACAGATAATTTAATTAGGACACAGACTGTTTCACTCAGGACAAATTCCTTTCGGTACCACGTGCTTCCTTGAGACTCACACTCGGGGTGTCACACTTGATGTCCGACTCTTCCACTACAGGGGCATCCAGGCTGGATGAGGAGCCACCCTCCCGACCCCTCCATGAGTCCCCGGTGACAGTCTTTTTCATTGTCTACACCCCATTGTATGGCCGAGGCAGATGGGGTGCTTGTAACCCTGCACTTGGCTGCTGCTGGAAATTACGCCACCAGCCGTCGGAAGGCGTTCATGGGACAACTGAATTCTCTTTTCTTCACTCTATAATCTCCTCTGCTTTGTTCTGCTGTATGCTGATGTTCTGAAAATAAATTTTCAGATGAACTTGGTGACACATGCCTTTAATCCTAACACTCTGGAGACAAGAGGATCTCCGCAAATTCAAGGATTAATTTTCTAAAACGGTTTAAATTTCTTCTCCCATTTTGGTAGGGAGTGCTCTGTGGTCCTTTTCTTCCATTTATTCAAGGTTATCCATTTTCCTTGGCCGGTGTCTATAGGTCATTTAGAAGAAACCGCTCAATTGATAGGTTCTTGCTGGGACTCCTAGGCAAGGAAACCCGTTTTATAAAAACGTCAGTGAAGGCTCTTCCCTGGTAGTACCTTGCTGGGATCTTCCTCAGTGTTCTGAGTTTAATTCATTTTATGAACGAATCAAGAGTAACCTCTGGGAGCTGGAACGATGGCTCGGGCTACGAGCATTTGTTGCTCTTCCAGAGACAGGAATTAAAAATCCCAGGGCCCAGCACCCAGGCCAGCAGGCTTTCAAGCTGTGACTTGCTCCAAGGCATCCCATACCCTCTTCGGGCCTCTCACTTGGCCCATACATGTAAACTTTTTAGAAGAAACAGAGAAATTCTGTTCATCTTTCCACGGCCAACTCTACTTTAATCTGTGCCTTGCATAACTCCTTTAAGATCTCATAGGGCAAATTTTTACGACGTCAATATGTCAATATTTGACGCAGCGCCCCGCATAGGGCACCGCTCAAACAGGCCCCGCCTTGCTCCCCGCCATCACCGGGCGGCCCCGGCCCCGGGACCGGGTCAGACCCATGTCTACGAAGCCCCTAAGGGCGTCCCCTACCGGACGTTCGCCACCACCGGGCGCTGCCACCAAAGACCACAAAGTTCCCTCGCCCGGCGCTTCTAGACTCCCACAGCCTCAGCCTTCTCCACGGGAGGGGCGTACCAAAACTGTGCCAGCGCATCTCAGACAACGGGAAAGCCAGGGTGCCCGAGGTCACAGAGCTTCTCCTGTGTGTACAAGAGGAAAACGTGGAGGACCAGGGCGTTGTTCACTCACACCTGCACAGCGCCGTTGGCAAACCGGTACAACCCTTGAACATGCTCCCGGTGTCTGAACTCCGATGATCTAGGAGATGGGTGGGCGTGCATCCGCGAGGAGTTAGGGATGAATAATGATCAAAAGACATTGTATGCACGTACATTATTCTCCACGAACTAATAAAATATTGTATTACTATGAGAGACTAAAGTAAGAGCGATAAAGTCTTTGCAACCCTCCCAAAGTCACCCCCATTTTAATGCAGTAGTCCCTCTCTTGTCCGCAGAGAAGATCTTCTAAGGCATTCTCTAAATGTCTGAAACCACTTAATATAAATATAGAAATATAACGGTCTGAAACCGTTAGAAACTCATGTACAGTATTTTTTTAAATGTATAAATACCCATGATAAAGCTTAACTTATAAATTAGGTGTTGTAAGAGATTGCTCAATGATTGCAACATGTTATGATAAGAGTTATTTAAAACTTACAAATTATCACCTTCTAGAAGTTTCTATTTATCATTTTCAGACTTCCGTTGACTGGAAACCACCAAGAATGAAATCAGGAATAGAGAGGATTTCTGTATTAAGCAAAGCTAAGGGGTGTGCTGGCTGTGGCAGAATGTTCCAGATGGCCCTGTGCTGGACTTTATTATATAGTCTCCTGTTTTGTTTTATTTTTCTTCTTCCTCCACTAGTGTTTACCTCCCTCCCTGAATTGTCTGTCTTAAAACAGATGCACCTCTTTGTAGCACATTCCTGTGTGTATTCATATAAGCAACCTCAAATGACTGGAAGGCATATGCACATAAATGGATGGAAATAGAAATAAGGGCATGTTCACAATTCAGTTTACACAGCATTCTTAACATTTTTTAATCTGTAGAAATTTAAACAGCGTCTTAACTTATAAATGCTGGGAACGAATAATGGTTTCCATTGCTAGATCCTTACAGTTTGGGCACCATGCTGTACTTAACGCATATGGTCTTATTTAATGTTCCTGTACCTTGTGGACCCATTTCACACGCCACACCACCGCCACACCACCGCCACACCACCAAGTCACAGAGAGCGGGAGTATACACGCCCAAGGTCAGAGTTTAGAGTCGGGATTTGGCTCCAGGCGGTCTGACTCCCAAACCACTGCTCTTAGCCATTAAACAATATCGTAAAAGCCCCAGATGTATATCTGCTTTAAAAATACTGTGACTGTGCCCCGCCTCCAGAGATTGTGTCTTAAACGATCTGGGATATGGACCGAGACCCGGAAGTTTTAAATCCCAGGTGAGTCTGATCTGAAACCATTTTAGAAATGTTGTTTTACGTGGGACTTTACCTAACGCTGGCCACTCCAGAGCTGTCCCATCCTGCCAATGAATGAAAGAACCTCAGGAGTAAGGCTCACTGGGAAGCACAGCATGAAAGAGGATGGTTTGTTACTCATTCCCATTGCCTGTGTTTACAAACGGCCCCTTAGGACTGGCTCCGCCTTATACGGACACTGACCCGGGTATCTGAAGCTGAAAACCCAAGTTAGTAGGCTAGGAAAAACCGGTAGACTAAAAGCTGTGACTTTCCTAGACGGCAGCACAGCAGGGCCATAAACTACTTTCCCCTTTTCTGCGGTCAGAAGGAGTCTAGCCTTTAAAGGAACAACTGAGAATGCCCGAGTCCATTCTCTTTTCAGTTTGACACCGACTCCTCCCTCGGGCTGCCACCTCCTAGAGAGGACAGGTACTTCTACCTCCCCTGTGTTCTCTCATAGGAGCCAAGTCTATCTATCTCTGTCTGTCTGTCTATCTCCATCTGTCTGTCCGTCTGTCTGTCTATCTGTCTGTTTGTCTATCTGTCTGTCTCTGTTTTATGTGTCTCTCTACCTATATCTATCTCTGTCTATCTACCTGTCTGTCTGTCTGTCTATCTCTGTCTCTCTTTCTCTCTATCTCTTTGATATATGCACAGACCTATCTATTATTCTCCAATCTGAAAGAGAAAAACTGCATCTCACAGAACTTAATCCGATTGCCCAAGATCATGTAGTTGACAAAGTGACAAAGTCGGGGTTGGACCTGTCTCTCTGTGGTGCCAGCGCGACCTGCTCTCTTTTCCAAAAACACTCCCAAGTGCAGAGTGTGCTCTTTCCGAGCTTTCAGAGGTGATTAAAAACTCCCACGCAGAGACTCTGTCTGGAACAGTCTGTCATTATGATGCCTATTGGACAGGTCTCCTATAATCAACCACATTTTTCTACCAAAACCATGAATTTTCATTTGCTGAATCATATCTCCTGGTATGGTACTGATATCTGAGATTTACCAGTTTCTTCCTGTCAGAGACACCACACCGAACATTTTATGCGTGTATCTTTGCCCACATTTGAAACAATTTCCTTTAGGTACATTTCTAGAAGCAGGATTGGGCTGCGCTGTGTGGACATTGCCGCTCACAGTCCCAACATTCTCTTTATCACGCGCTAACTTACACACCTGCCAGCTGTGCACAGGATGCATGTCCATTCGCCCTCTAGCACTTTGTCCTCTGTAAAAAAAAAAAATCTGTTTTTATTTGCATTGCTTTGATTATAAGTAAGGTTGATAAGAAATAAAAAATATGTAAAGTTGATTTTTAAGTGTTTTTGACCTTTCATGGATGTTCATATTTGAATTTAACTCATACTCTTAGCTTATCTTATTCTTGGTACACATTTTAGTATGATTCCTATTTGTCCTTTGATAGTCTTCAGATACACCGTCTGTTGAGCATTTTACTACTTACTGTCTGATACTTATGGAATATTTTGATTCTCCTATAGATCTACATTTTTTACACACAGTTAAAATTGAAGTTAGCGTATTGAATAATAGGCATTATTCCGTTGTTGGAATAATGCATTGTTTCTATTGTTCTTCCTCCCCTATTCTCCCGTCTCCCCCAATCCACTTTCAGGTCATATATAGTATCTCACACTCTTTATCCCTCCTTAAGGCCTCTTTCCCCTCCCATGTCCCCTTTCTAGTTTTGTGCTGCATCCCACAACCACACACATCTATAAAAATTAAAATTTAGCATAAACATATGAGAGAAAATGTGATCTTTGTCCTTCTGATTGTAGTTGCTTTGTTTAATACAATTCTAGTTTTATTCATTTTTCTGCAAATACATTTTTTTCTATAGCTGGATAATATTCTTTTGGATACACAGAAGTTTTTTTTTTTAAAGATTTATTTATTTATTATGTATACAGTGTTCTGTCTGCATGCATGCCTGAAGGTCAGAAGAGGGCACCAGACCTCATTACAGATGGTTGTGAGCCACCATGTGGTTGCTGGGAATTGAACTCAGAACCTCTGGAAGAGCAGTCAGTGCTCTTAACCTCCGAGCCATCTCTCCAGCCCCTACACAGAAGTTTTTAAGTTTTAAATATTTTAATCTTTTTGGCCAGCTTCAATCCTAGAAGATTAAAATCTGGTGATTAAATGTTCTATTTTCTTTCCAGCCCAGCTTTAAAAAAACTGAACCTCTTGATCTGTGTGTGGTTTATTTTAGTACATGGCATGATATATTTAACTTCAAGATTATCCCCCATAGCTACTTTTGTGATCTCCTTTGGTTTGTGATGCTATCCTGATATCTTTAATTCCTGTTGAATCTAATTTTTTGCTCTTATTCTCTTTTTAGCACACCCTGTTTCCCGTGACCTTGTAAGGAAATGGTAAGACCAAGGAAAATATTGTTATCACACCTGAAATGGTGACCAGCACAGCTGGAGGCCGGGCTCCTGGAGACTCTGAGAGAAAGCCAGATCTTCCAAGGAGTCTCTGTGCTTTCCCCCTGTGATGGGCCCTTTTAAAATCTGAGTTTCTATGGGAACAAGAAAGGCAATCTGGGAATGTAGCTTCATAGTAGAGTGTTTGCTTAAAACCAAACCATCACCAAAATAAAGAAATAAGGACACACATAAGTAAGAAGGGTCTGGAGAGATGGCTCGGCGCTTAAGAGCACTGACTGCTCTCCACAGGACCCAGGTCTGATTCCAGCTCCCACACGGCAGCTCACAACCATCTATAATTCCAGTCCCAAGGAATCCAACATCCTTTTCTGCTTCTGCAATCACTATATGCATGGTTCATGGACATACAAGCAGGCAAAGCACTCATTGGCATTACATTAAGAAAATAATAAAACAGTAAGGAGGGAAGGAGAAAGACCCAACTCGAAGTGCCTGGGCTACTCAGGGTTGGTTTCATAGCAGACCGTGCTTTCCAGGGCTCTTAGGAGTCCGCAGTGGCAACCTCTTGTTGTAGACTGCACGAAGCTGCAGGTGACTATATCTCAATCCTCCTTGTTTCTAACTAAAGTACAGTAGCCAATGCCTTTCTTCCTTGACCTGAGTCCGTTTTAGCACCAGTGAGTATCTAACCCAAGGATGCTCCTGGTTTATAGAAAGTGTGGAGGAACCATTTATTGAATAAAGCCTGGCATGGTGGTGCATACACCTGTAATGCCAGCCCCTCAGAGATAAAAGCAGGAGGATTGCCTTGAGTTAGAGGCCAGTATTGGCTTCATAGCAAGACCTAGTCTCAAAAAACTCAAACCAAAAAAAAAAAAGTATTAAGTGGATGAAGTAAGTCCTTTGGCAATAAGAGACACTAAAATAGGCCAGCAAGATGGCTCAGAGGGTAAAGGCACTTGCTACCACACCCAAACATCTGGGTTCAAGCCCTGAGATCCACACGATGGAAGGAGAGAAATGACTCCTTTAAGATATACTCTGACCACACATGTATTGTAGACCATGTACTTTTTCAGACATGTGTTCTTGCTCACACAATAAATAAACAAACAAACAAACAAATAAATACATGTAATTTTTTTTTTGTTTTGTTTTTTTGAGACAGGGTTTCTCTGTCGCTTTGGAGCCTGTACTGGAACTAGCTCTTGTAGACCAGGCTGGCCTTGAACTCACAGAGATCCGCCTGCTTCTGCCTCCCAAGTGCTGGGATTAAAAGCAGGTGCCACCACCGCCCGGCTACATGTAAAAATTTTAAAGAGACCTTAAAATAAAGAAAAGAGAAGGTCACAATAGTGCATAATTATTGGTTTAGGAAGAGCTTTATGTTTCAAAATGATGAGAGGAGCAAAACTCTAAACACACAAAAAGAGGCAGAAATGCTCGTTACCCTGACCCATTACACACTGAGCAGAGAGGAGAGCATGAGTTCTCTGTCTGGGTTAGAAACCTCACTGCGGCTACTGCGTGGGGAGCAGGTGGGCAGAGGGCATGTGTGGAGGCAGGGGACACAGAGATCAGTGAATCTGGTGGCTAGGATGAGGATGGTAGAGAGGGACCGGGCGTGTGTCTGTTGTTTTTATTATGTGGATGTGTCGGGGTTGTGTGTGTGTGTGTGTGTGTGTGTGTGTGTGTGTGTGTGTGTGTGTGTACATGTACCTATGGAGGTTCAGCTTCTCTGGAGCTGGATTCCCTGACACTGGAGTTACAGGCAGTTGTGAATCACCCAGTCTAGGTGGTGCTGGTAACTGAACCCGGGTACTCAGCAAGAGCAGGACATAGTCTGAGCCGCTCTACTGAGTCACCTCTTCAGATGCTCTCTGAGTCACCCCAAATATACATTGTCTCACTTACCCCTCCCCAGAGTCTCTTTGATGAGGAGTTATTTGTTATCAAGATAGTTCTCTTTTTTTATGTTATAAAATTAAATATTATGGTTTCTTTTTTAAATTTTGTTGATTTTTATTGAGCTCTACAGTTTTCTCTGTTCCCCTCCCTGCCTCTCCCCTTCCCCTTCAACCCTCTCCCAAGGTCCCCATGCTCCCAATTTACTCAGGAGATTTTGTCTTTTTCTACTTCCCATGTAGATTAGTTCTATGTATGTCTCTCTTAGGGTCCCTAATTGTTGTCTAGATTCTCTGGGATTGTGATATAAAGATATCTCTAAACATACTTTGAATTAACTAGTTGGTATTTGTTAGTTTTTTTTCTAGAAAGAGAATTGAAGATCTTGCTAAACCGAAAAAGCAATGGGGAACGCCAGACAGGTAAGGCAATATTATATGGTCTTGTTTGCAATGGCTGTGTTTGCTACATCAACTGGTATTCTTCTTAGTTGACCATTACCCCTGCGTCTCAGGTGTAGCTGCAGTCTCTCCTTACCTGGGTTCACTTTGTCAATAATGTTACCTCAGGGGACTGAACACACGGGAGTTTACCTTTGCTTGGTGGTTCCACAATTTGTCTGCACATTAGGGGGTCATAGAGGGAGCTTGGATACTGATCAAAGACTGAGCCCCATACCCAGAAATCTGACTTCATTAGGGGTGCAGCTTCAGGAGCGTTTACCAGATGCTTCTAATAAACGAAGTTTTGGGAAGCGCTGCCCCAGGTGGGTCTCCGCACTCTTTTGAAACTCTTGGGTTCATCCAGCAAGTCCACCTCTGCAGCCTCCTGGGGCGGACTGTCCACCAGCCTCTGAGCCTCCGCCCAGGACCTTCTGTTCTCTGGGTCTCAGCAACCCAGACCCCAGTCTCCGATACTCTAGGACGTCTCTTTTCCTTCTTTGGCTCCTGTATAAAGCCTGGTAGCTTGTAGAGAAGTTCTAGATTTACAGGAAAGGTGAGAATAGGTGACCTCTCCTCCAGTCTCCCCTGTAGTCATCGCTGGCATCAATGTGGTCTTGTCACAGCGGAGGAGCCAACATCCATGCAATCCCATGCCCTGTGGTTCTGTGGGGCTTGGCTAGTGCAGAGTGGGGTGCAGAAGAGTTCACTGCCCTAAACTCTGCTTTGTCCTTCATTCATTTCCTCCTATCCATCCCACTCTCAGAATCCCTGGCAACCACCGTTTTTTCCTTTTTATACTGTTTCCATAACATTCCCTTTTCTGGAATGTCGTATAATTGGAATCATGCCGTATGTCTCTTTCACTTGGTAACAGGCATTTTAGGTTTCCCATTTATCTTTGTGCTCTTCTCTCTCATCTCCTTGTAATATATTCCATTGGACCCACTAATATTCCATTATATGGAGACCTTGGTTTAGCCACGCACCTATATGAAGGGTTGTTGCTAATATTTGGCAATCATGAACAAAGCTGTTATAACATTTATGTATAGGTTTTGGTGTCTTTCAGCTGTAGTTGGGTAAGTGTCTGGGATTCGAATGGTTGCTGAACCAGTTGGCAAGTGTACACTTCACATCGTAAGGGACCACAGGACTCTCTTCCGCTGAATGTGGACCATTTCCCATGCTTTGAGAGTTCCTGCTGTCTTGCACATCCCTGTCAGCTTTTGGTGTTGTCGGTGTTTTTGCTTTTAGCCATTCTCATAGGAGTGTAGGAGGAGTTCACTGTGATAATATGGTTCCCTATGGCAGGATCTGAACTTGCTTCACAGCTTTCTTTGCATATTTCCTTTGCTGAGGTCTCCCGTTAGACCTTTAGAGTTTTAACAGGACTCCTTCTCTTCCAATTGTTCCTCTCGAGTGTTTGCTGTGTTTTTTGGGGATTAGTGCTTCCAGTCTGAGTTTGTCTTTCACAGAGCAAATGTTCTGATTTCAATTAAATTCAGCTTATCATTTTTTCCTATTATGAATTCTGGTATCTGTAGCCTAATTGCCAAACCCTTCACCCCTTGGATTTTCTCTTACTATTTTGAGGCAAGGTTTCAAGTGTCCTAGATTGGCTTCGGATTCTCTCTGTAGCCCAGGATGATCTTGGAGTCCCGATCCTATTGCCTACATCTCCCAACATACCCTTCTGCTCTGGCCCAAACCTGCCGAGTGCCGGAAGGGATGGTTCCCATTCTCCATTCCACCTCAGCTATGGGCTTTAATTCCAACTGTCTGTACCTTTCACCCCTTCTGGAACCTTCTCAGGGAACTCTGTGCTGATTTTGCCTTTCTCTCTCAGCCTGGCACAGCAGGCATACCTGTTTCATAGGGCTATTGGGACTAAATGCCGTGATGTCATGGTGCCTGGCACACAGGAAATTTTCTGCAAATGGTTGTGAGTGATATTATTCTGTTACTGTTTTATTTTATGACCACCTGGTACAGGGGTTCACTCAAAAGGGGAGCACTGTGTAGACTTTGGCTTGTGTAGTAGGAGGCTGCTTATTGGTTAACTGCTGCCCAGATTCAAAATAACTACACAGAAATTGTATTAATTAAATCACTGCTTGGCCTATTAGCTCTCGCTTCTTATTGGCTAACTCTTACATCTTAATTTAACTCATTACTATTATCACCACATGGCTATGGCTTACTGGCAAGGTTCTGGCTTGTCTGTCCCCTGCGGAGGCTACATGGCTGGCGTCTCTTTACTTCATCTTCTTTCTCCCAGCATTCAGTTTAGTTTTCCCTGCCTAGCTCTACTCTACCCTATCACAGACCAAGAAAGCTTCTTTATTAATAAAAGCAACACATATACAGAAGGACTTCCCACACCAGGCATGTCTGTTTAATGCCACCCTACTACAAATGACACTGCTAACTCCATGATGGCAAAAATGAACTATCTTATCACTAATAGGCTCATTTTAAGTCACTGTTAATTTTTATCAATTTTTTTATCATTACTACAGTCTTCCCCCTTTCTTCTATGTGCGTGCGTGCATGTGTGTGTTTGTGTGTGTGTGCTGGAGGTCAAAGGACAACCCTTGGGAATCAATTCTCTCCTTTTGCTGTGGGATGGGGGTTTGAACTCAGGTTGCCAGGGTTGTGCAGCAAGTGCCTTTTTACCAACCGAGCCATCTCGCTGGCCCAAGGTTACCATTTATTCTTAAATGGAGTAGACATGGCAATTTTATTCTATTTCTAGTTTAATGTCCATAGCTCATTTCTCTCTGGTGTCTGAAAATCATAAAATCCTGTGAGAGATGAGGATGCTGAGGTGGCTCAGCAGGGGAAGACACTTGTCACCACGCCTGATGACCTGAGTCTGATTCCTGAAACCCACACGGTGGAAGGAGACAGCCATCCCTGCAATTGCCCTCACTTTCACGCGCACAGCAGGACAGGTGTGTCATCAGCACACATAAATACGCTGTAATACACAATTATAAAGGAGAGCGAGTTCTTGGAGACTAATCCATATAGATGTTAAGTCTCACCTTTGTGATGCTTATTAGCAGGAGTTTATTTGAAAGCAATGCTTGGCTTTTCTGCTTCATTAACAGAAGGTTGTTTTGGGGAAATCAAGATCCTATTCGCCCTCTTTCTGATGCTGCTTTGAAGGCTCAGCTGACCAAGAGAATTGAGGACCTTGCTCAGCCCAAGCTGGTCTCCCGACACTACGTCCCTAACAGGTTGGTGCTGACACGACGTCAGGTTGCTTCGTCAGGACTTCACAAGGAAAACGAGCTTAGAGCCCAGCTCTTTCACCAGCTGTGAACTGTTGAACCTGGAAGCCAAGCTTACGGAACTTAGCTTCATTCAACTTCCTGGTGCTCTTTCTCTCCTCAAAACTTATATTTTGTAATTTGACACCGCTCAGCTTGTTCCTTTTCATTATAATTCTTCATTAAAGTTACCACTAATAACAATATGACAGAGTCTATACTAGGCTGTTTTGAGATTTGCTCTGCCAACAGAATTAATCCAAAAACTCTTCACTTTAGCTTCAGGCAGACCCTTCAGACAAGAGCAAAAGGCAGCCACTTTCTTGACCAAAATGTCACAAGAATGATCTCTAGGCAACATTTTAAAATTCTCCTCTGTAATCTCTTGAGAAAGCTCTCCACAGTTCATCAAATCACATTCAACATTGTTGTTTTCCATTGTCCTACCAATATGGCCCTTTAAGCAGCACTTAAAGTGTTCCATTGCTTTCCTAACCCAAGTATCAAAGTCCAAATTCCCACAAACGAAAACATAGTCAGACCTATCACAACAATACTTCAGTCCCTAGTGCCAACTTATATCTTATTTCGGGTTTCTATGGCTGTGAAGAGACACCATGACCAAAGCAACTCTTATAAAGAAAATATTTAATTGGGGTGGCTCGCTAACAGTCTCAGAGGTTCAGTTCATTATCATCATGGTGGGGAGCATGAAGGCACACAGGCAGACATGGTATTGGAGAAGTAGATGAGAGTCCTACATCTTGCAGGCAGCAGAAAGTTGACTGAGACACTGAGTAGTATCCTGAGCATAGAAAACTTCAAAGCCCGCCCCCATGGTGGCACACTTCCTCCAACAAGGCCACTCCAACAAAGCCACACCTTCTAATAGTGCCACTCCCTATGAGATTATGGGGGTCAATTACATTCAAGCTACCACAATGCCTTATTGTGGTTTCCAGTCTCAGTATATAATGTAAGAATTAGCAAACATGAATGAGTCTTTTCTATAAAATGCTATAAAACTTGTATTTAGGTCATGGAATTAAGATGTTTTTGTCTCTCCCACCTTGGAAGACTTATACTTAAACATACATATGTCTACTAAAACTCTTAAAATCACACTTGCTTCCCACCTAGTAAAAATTTACTCAACATGACTCCTTTCCCCTCTCCCCACTTCCAATGCAACAATTCTTTTCAGACTAGCTAATTAAAAGAGACCCCAGGCAATAGGGAAAAGACACAGCCACCACCTTAGAATAAAAACCAATTACACTTCCTGTCTCAGTGTTTGCTCTCCTTGATCAAGAGTAAAGCTGCCTAACAGTGGTTTCTTTACAATTTGAAATGAATGAAATTTATGCCCTGACAGTGCTGAAGCAAGCATGGGCAGCCCACTTATGGGTTCTGTTGAACTTCTCTATATTGGGTTTCATGGTCTAAGTTGATGAGAATGACTGATTGGTCTCTTCCTCAAGAGGGCGCCAGATCTCAATACAGATGGTTGTGAGCCACCATATGGTTGCTGGGATTGAACTCAGGACCTTTGAAAGAGCAGGCAGTGCTCTTAACCACTTGAGCCATCTCTCCAGCCCCAAACTTATTGCAAACAATACCACAGGCAAGTTTTTTTTGGAACAAGATCAGTTCTAAGAACAGCCTTGAAGATTTGTATTCTATTTCCTAATACTTTGGTCTATGTGAGCTTTTTTTTTTTAATTAAGAAAGTTTTAAAGTGTGTGTGTGTGTGTGTGTGTGTGTGTGTGTGTGTGTGTGTGTGCAGAGACCAGAGGAGGACCTCAGGTGTCCTGCTCTATCCCTTTCCAGTATTACTTTGAAACTGGCTCTGTTATGAACCTGGACTAGGCTGGTGGCCAGCGGGCCCCAGGGGTGGTCCTGTCTGCCCCACACTGGGATAATAGGCAGGTGGATGACCATTTCTGCCTTCTTATGTGGGTGCAGGATCCAAACTCAGACCATCATGCTGTACAACAAATGCTCTTTCTTTATCCTTAGAGGGTTTTCTTCTTTAGGACTGGAGAGATGGCCCAGTGCTTAAGAGCGTTGCTGTTCTGGGTTCAGTTCCCAGTGCCCACACAGTAACTCACAACCATCCTAAACTCAAGTTCCAGGGTACCCCACACCTCCTTCTGACCTCTGTGGGCACCAGGCATATGGATGGCACATACACATGCATGAGGGAAAGACATATACATACCCAACAACAAAAAAGCCTTAACGTTCTGGGGTTCTGTTTCTTTGTTTTCTTTGGTTTTTCCTCCCCTGGTGCGGGGATTAAACCCAGGGCCTTGCACATTTTAAGCAACGGTTCTATCAATCTCTTTATAGTTAAGAAAACAGCTTTTCAAGCTGTTTTTCAGGGAATTCTTACAGAAGTCCTTAATATTTCAAGACAGGGCCTTCAATGAAGAAAACCCACTTCTTTTATCTTTTTGAGATTATGATATAATTACATCATTCCCCTTTTTCTCCCCCCCCCAACTCCCCCATACACCCCTTCTTGCTCTGTTTCAGTCTTGACCTCTCAAGGACACAACAACAGACACTAAAGTGAATGGGGATGGGGGAGGGGGCATGAGGTCTCAAACCTGCACACAGAGCTACAAGCAAGTAAGGAGGGCTGAGCAGGAGAAACGGTCTTCCCGGGCAAACATACATCCAAACTCTTCATGGGAGACATTTTAGAAGTTCAAGGGATCTGGGAAATGAGTTCGGATTCCCTTGGAGAACTGGCCGTGCTTGGATCTTTTCTGTCCATGTTTCTATCCAGTCTGCCATGCCAGGCCCTCTCATCAGCCTTTGTGGTGTCCTTCTCCGTGTGTTTCCCTAAATGCATCCCGTCCTATGGATTTGTTTCCTCCCAAATTTTTATCTTTCTCTCCTTATCTCAGGCTCACTGGCTTCCCAGGTTGGGGCTCCCACGCCAAACCCTCCAGCGCCGTAGGGCTCCTTCCTCATCTATGCAGGTAGAATTGGACTTCTGTTTCAGAATGATATCTAGGTAGGCTCTGCTGGTTGATGGACTTGTTTGCTTTTTAAAGTTTCTTTTAGACGGTTTTTTCAAAATCCTTAAAGGAAATTACCTCATTTGTCTGAACAAGACGGTGCCGGGTACACATTGTGAATTTCACCGTCTCTCCCAGCAGCGCGCGAATGAGCTCGTGTTTGCTGGCATTTTCCCATCACGCTTGTTTAACAATATGACTAAGTATAATTCTGCAAACATGCTGTGAAGGTGTCGAAGGGACAGAGCCAGGTAAGACATACCGACTGTGTTTAAGACACGTTCCAGGGAAAATAACAGGAAACCCCTTGCCCTTCACAGGGCAGGAGGAAGAGAATATATTTCCCGGGGTGGCTTGAAAGGGAGGAAAAGGAAAACTTAATCTTTTTTGACCTCAGACCCCCTTAAAGGACCCCCTAAAATGTCTTCCAGAAAAAATAAGATTACTTGGTGTGGCGGTTCACTCCTGTAATCCCAGCACTCAGGAGGCTGAGGCAAGAGGATCCAGAGTTTGAGGCCAGCCTGGATTACATAGTAAGACTGTATTTAAAAAAAAATAAATTATGAAGCCAGGTGGTGGTGGCGCACACCTTTAATCTCAGCACTCAGGAGGCAGAGGCAGGCGGATCTCTGTGAGTTCGAGACCAGCCTGGTCTACAAGAGCTAGTTCCAGGACAGACTCCAAAGCTATAGAGAAACCCTGTCTCAAAAAAAACAAAAAAAAATTATGCATACATTCACATATATTTACCTTTTGTCATTTATTAAAACAAAATAAATTATCACTTTTATGGTTTTGTTATCGTCACTGCTTTTTTTTTTTTTTTTTTTTTTTTTAAATACCAGTCTCTCTGTGCAGCTCTGGCTGTCCTGGCACTCGCTCTGTACACCGGGTTGGTCTCAAACTCAGAGATCCATCTGCTTCTGCCCTTTCTTCCCCCTGCCCAGCACTGAATTAAAGGCATGTGCCACCATGCCCAGCTAGTGTTTAGGCTTTGTAGGTGGGTTCTTTCTGGCAGAATCTCTGTCTGATTTTAGCTATTTGAAGCTAAGTTCCCCCAAACTTGAGTCATTAATGTACTTTCTTCCCAAGTTGCCATATTTGTGCACCGTTAAATTATCTAATGTAAAGCAGGTGTGGTGGCAGATGCCTTTAATCTGGGCATTAGGAAGCAGAGACAGGCAGGTCTCCAGGAGTTTAAAGCCAGCCTGGTTTAGATAGTAAGTTCCAGGCCACTCTGGGCTATGTAATGAGACCCTGTTTCAAAAAGCAAAAAGTAAAATAAATAAATAAATAAATAAATAAATAAATAAATAAATAAATAAACACGTAAAAACTCTTAAAAATATTTGAACTTAAATGTACATATGTCTACTAAAACCCTTAAAAATCACACTTGCTCTTCCAAATTCCCTCAATATTAATGTCCTGTAGCTCTGCTTTTAGGGCCATCGCCTTGTGATTTCCCTGTACATACCGGCATGTCAAAAGGTGTTGTCGTCGGGCAGCTTTTGTTTAGGTGGCTGTATTTCTGCGATTTCATGCGCACAGCTTCCCTGTCATATACAGAAGACACAATCTCACAGCAGACATCCCGATCCTCTGACTTTTACAGTCTTTCCCCCCACTCTTCTGTAATGTTCCTTGCGCCTCAAGCATGGGGGTTGTGTGTTGTTCGCATGCCGAGCCATGCAAATGTGTTTTTTGTATGCTGAGCCATGCAAGCGTGTTGTTCGCATGCCGAGCCACGCAGGCAGGCTGCAGTTGTGGGTACCATCATCAGCAACATTTTAGTGAAACCATGTCCTTCTGTCCACGTCATCTCAGGACTCGCGGATGCTGTTGTGAAAGATAAGGAAGCTCTTCTCTCACTCAAAAGGCCACCTCTCCCTCACTCCAGATGGGGAACCGCACCAGCCCTCGGTACCACACTTTTTAAAAAGCTGCCACGCATCTTTGGTGTTTGCCCACCCACTGCATGGCTCCAGAAAACCATGAGAGTCGCAGTTTCACTGAGAACGGGGTGGGAAGAAAGGTGCCAAGGAAAGGTTTCACGAGAGCACACGGTCTTCTCAAAGACTGTGAGATCCGCGGCTTCCAGTGCTTTCTTCATCTTGGCAAATTCTTTCTTGGTGGGTAGAGCCTGCTCCTTCTCCCATCTGCATCTTCTCTTGAGGGTCATCGAAGTCTCACTCTTCAGGAACAAGAGGGGTAATAAGTCCATCATATTTCACTGTTTCAGTTAGCATGTGGTACAGCCCCACAGTCTGCATGCTGTTCTGTGAAGGCTCTGAAAAGTGGGCAGTGTGGGTTTGCTGCGTGCAAAGTGGTTTTGCTGCATTTGACCTTTTCTCTCTCACTGAGATACCAGGATGTCCATCTTAGGTAAGGGATTACATTCAGGTCCACCGACAGCGATCTCAGCCTTGCTCCGTACCACGTGGACGTCACCACTGCTGAGCTGAGTCAAGGCCACGGGGCCAGGATACTCGACAGCCAGCAAACCTGCCTGCCTACCTGCCTTTCCTCCCTCCTGCCCTCCTTCCTTCCTTTTTCCCTTCTTTTCTTTCTTTTTTTTTTTTTTTTTTTTTTTTTTTTTTGAGATGGGGTGTTTGTGTGCATATCTTGTATCTTGCCCAGACTGGTCTCAAATGGAATCCTCCTGCCTCCTAGAAAAATTTGGCCTTAAAAACAGATAATCATCTCTTCTCAATAGTGTATCTTTTCATCTGTGTGGAAGACATACACTGTTCAGTAAAGAAAACTACCTGTTTTAGAGTAAGATAATAGAAACGAGCTGAACACTTACTCTGTAGCCGTTTCTAAGACAATGCTTACATCTCCCATTGTGGAAGATAGCCCAGGAGCACACACAGAGCTTTCTGCCTGCTTCCCGGGCCTGGGAGTCAATGCCTGAGAAGACCGCAATGATCTGAATTCATATGCCACTGATTTCTTTTCTCTTCTGCCACTGACAGGGCTCAGTATTACTACAGCTGCGGCAGAGAGTCTGTGATTTGGGAGATCCCACCTCCTGCGCTGTTTACCCGGCCTTCTAAACGGATCCAGAAGCTGGCAAAACCCAACAGATTCAAAATGCAGTGTCGGCTGAATAGGTAGAGTATCTTAAACTCTCCAGACACCCCGATCTGGCTGACTGGAGTGTCACTCACTGTAGCTCCAGTTTCAGTCTGAGCGGAAGGACGGTTTACGTCTAAACACATTGGATAAAAGTGTGGATTGGATAAAAGCTACAGCAGGAGCTCGTCATCAACTCTTCTATCTGACTGGGAACGCTGGGGCAGGAATTCACAGTAAATCTCACTCTCAGGCAACAAAAGGAATCCCTCGGCCTGGTATGACGGCTCCTGCTTGCAATCTACAGCACCCAGAAAAATCCATTACAAAATGTAAAAGTTACCAACTACTCTCTCCTGCAAATATACACACTCAGGTACACATGAGTCCACACCAGAACGCTAGCAAATCAAATCCAGACGTGCATGCAACAATTTGCAACCTTGTCAAAAACCACTTGACTATAAGCACAAACTTTTATTTCTGGATTGCCAGTCTTACTCCATACACTAAATGTTTGTCTCCATGCAACAATGCACAATCATGGTTACCACAGCTTTTTAGTAGATTTTGAAATCATAAAATACCTTTGAACTCTGATCGTTTTAGATTATTCTGGGACCTTTGTATAACCATAGGAATTTTGCTTTTTGGGTCGACGAAAATACTCTCAAATTAATGCTGATGGTTGAACATTTTGTGAATATTTTAGAAACCACTTAGTTGCATACTTAGAAAGGGGAAGTTTTATGTACATTAATTGTACCTTAATAATAACAAAACCTATAGCTCTCCACCCTTAGAAAGTCATTGCATAGCTGAGAAAACCTTTTTTCCATGCTGAGTTTGTAGATTTGTTAATTGGTTGGTTTTAGATTTTTGATCAGAGAGAGAAGTATATGGCATACAGCTCATAATAACTGGCCAAGTGACTGAGAGTTGAGACAAGGATTAGTTCACACTGCACTACAAAAGAGAATGGCCCACGGGTGTCCTAGGTGATGACCAAGCTCTTGTAGACCAGACGCCTCAAACTCACAAAGATCTGCCTGCCTCTGCCTCCCAAGTGCTGGGATTAAAGGCGGGCGCCACCACAGCCCAGCTAGGAAGTGAGATATTTTTTAAGACTGTAGGTCAGAACCCATCCAATGGAACATGTAGTTCTAGGGTGTCTTTTTTTTTTTTCTAGTTAAATCAAACTTTAAAATAATTAGATCAGACTGTATGGCATTGAAGCACGGTGTATTGAGAATTTTGTTTCGTATACAGGAGCATGTTTACATACACCGTGACACATTAAATGTATCCCCTACTGTGGACCAATGGGAAGCAGCAATCTGTCTAAAGAACTGCGCGCGCGTAAGAAAAGATGTTCCTGCTTTCAGAGCGTGTGCATAGCTGCATTTGGTTGTAGCTATGAACTGTTTGTTCTTCCGTCCAAAGCTGTATTTTGTTTCTGTTTGCATATCGCCCCCTCAGCGATGACTTACCACCAGAGGTTCTCCGTTTCTCTGATCCGTCTCCCAGAATCCTGCAGCTCTCCATAGCCAAAGGCCCAGATCCCAACTACGTTCCTCCGAAAAGCGTAAGTGGTGACTGTCTCATGCAACACTCTCCGAGCGGGTTACTTCCTGTGTGGCGAAGAACACGACAAGAAGCAGCTTGGGGGAGAAGGGTTTGCTGGGGCTCGCAGTTTGAAGCACACCGTCCATCGGGGAGGGGAAGGCGTGGCAATGGGGCTTCTCGGTGGCAGGAGTAGCTAGGTGGGACTCCTCAGCGCCCCACGTGTTGCCGGAACAGGAACAGAAAGCTGGCAGGAAGTGCGGCCAGGCTACAGGCGCCACTTCCCAGAGGTTACTCAACCTTCTAAAATAGCAAAGGCCGCTGGACGGAGACCAAGCGTTCACACACACGGCACTATGGGAGACATTTCATTTCAAACCACCGCTCCTTTGCTGCTTTTCTTTGTGGGTTTTCCTACAATTACAAAATCTATTTTGCCTAATCTGCCAGGAGAAGATCATAGAATAGAACCATATGTGATATAGAGCAAGGGATTTATTACATGTATTAGTCCTTGAATAATTTCGGAATTAGATGAAGTCTATGGCAGGCTGGTCCGCAGTGGAGCAGTGATAGGAATAAGTGGGAAGTTCCTCAGGAGGTCTCCTGGGTGTGGGGTCTAGTCCCGTTTGAGGTGGAAGGGCTGGTAAGGAGAGCAGTATTTAAGGGTTTAGAGTACCCCGTTTTATTGGAAATGTAGGGTTTAGGGCCCCCTGTTTTATTGGAATCTGCCCATATAGCACCATTCCAATTCTCCAGGCCCTACTATTTCACGACCATTGCCCAACTTTAACATCAGTGATTGGACAAATTTGAAAATTCAATTTGTATTGTAACCCACCCACCCGCTGAATTAAATTTTGGTTTTCAGACTATCCAGCCCTGTGACAATAGAAGATAAAGGTTTCTCTTGGTGGAAATCATTTCTGGTCCTTTATCTGGATTCTATGCTGGAAATTTAATGGCCTAAGATTGTTTTGTTTTCGTTCAAGTTGTCCAGCATCCTTACCAGCAACAACATCCCACTCCATTGTTCTGCCTTATTTCACTGACGAGTTCTTGGCATTCAGACAGAGCTTTGATTGGTTTTGCCATTGCATGCCATGGGCTACCAGTTGTTGATTTTTTTTTTCAAACTGCCACTAACAACGCACCCCTTAATGCCTGTGAGTCTAAATGCCACCAAAGCAAATTCTAAAATCAGCATCAGAACCATTATAGAGAATCTTAGAGCTCTGGTCTGATTGTTGCATCATGCCAACCCACAGACGTAATGGGGAGAAGTAACCATCACTTTACCACGCTCAAGAATTTTATAAGTCAGAAATTCTGAGAAGGAGAAAGGGATGGCTCTGTTCCATGCCAAGGCTTACCTGGGAAATCTGTGCTTACCTGCGTGTCAGTTACGGTCAGTTAAAATCGTCTGGAGGCTCCTTCATAGCCTAATCAGTACAGGTCGCTATAGGCTGGGTGGCTTCAAAAGACATATAGGTATTCTTAGAAGCTGGGAAACCCAAGATGAAGACCTCGATAGATTCTGTTCTTGTTGAAGGTGATTTCTTGATTACAGATAATGTTCCAAGTGAGAGTTATTTTCCTCTTCTCTGAACCCAAATACCTCACAAGAGGCATCTTGAGAGAAAAGAGATCCATTTTGGCTCATGGTTTGAGGTGTTACAGTCCATCATTATGGAAAAAGCACAGGAGCACATAGCTGTGGAAGCCAGCGCGTGAGGCGGCCTGGTCACTTCTTGTTGGCTAGTAGGAAGCAGAGCAGGAACTCAGGCTGGAACCAGGGCCGGATCATAATCTGTCAGCCTGTTTGGAGCTTCCTACTTCCTCCAGTGAGACCCTAGCATGAAAACTACAAACCAAGACCACGAGCTGGGTGCCAACTATTCAAACACACTTGAACCTGTGGGGAGCTATTTTATATCCAACTCTAGCAGATGACCACATCTAATACACTTGGGATTCAGGCTTTTATATATGAAGGGTCACAAACAGTCAATCCATAATTGTTCCATTGTGAATTGTACCTAGGCTGGGGTGACCAGGCTAGACTTGGCTGTTAATGTACAGGAGTTATAGAGAGTTGTAAGCTGCCATCTGAATGCTGGGAATTGAACCTGGGTCCTCTGGAAGAGCAGCTAGTTCTCTTAACTGCTGAGTCATCTCTCCAACCCCATTTGAGATATTTCTTTGTGGACAACCACAGATAAATTTACTATGAACACTTGTATGCAGGTGTTTTTGTGAATGTATGTTTTGATTTGGTTGTTTTTTTTTTTTTTTTTGAGACAAAGGCTTTATTCTGTAGCCCAGAATGGCCCAGCATGTACTACATAGCAGAATGCATGTCCACATACAACTTAGACTCTATTGTGCTTTGCTATTCTTTGTTGCCTTACTTTATAGAGCTGACTGATTGTTGTATCCCCTTTTGATTGAAAGGCTTAATTAAAAGCAGTGGTTGGCATATTCCTTCAACTCACCTAGAGATCTGTAGCGGACAAATCTTGATTCATAAAAAAAAATGCATTAAATGCTTAATTAGTTCTTCATGGTGTCGGGACATGCACTGTCCTCTGTTTAAATCCCAGCGTTGCCATTCCCCAGTTACATAAACGTACACTATTGAACCTCCAACGCTTCGGTGCTTCTTTCAGTGAAATAGGAATGGAAACAACAACCCAGGCAAGGAAGAAATTATTGAATACACATAAAATGCTGTCACTGGAGGCACCCATTGTCGTCTTCACTTAAACAAGGAAGACAGTTTACTGGTTTTTTTTGCCTGCAATTAAGGTTTTATTGTATTGCCATAGATTGATACATCTTCTTTCAAACCCTTTTCAATTTAATTTTAGATTTATTTTATTTCGCGTGTATTTTGCCTGCGTGTATATGTGCACCACTTGCATGACTGACGCCAGCGGAGGACGGAGGAGGACAACAGATATCCTGGAACTGGAGTTACAAGTGGCTGTGAGCCGCATGTGGGTGCTGAGACTGGAGCACTAATACAAAGAGCCCAAGTGCAAGAGCACACGATTTGAGCAAATATTCACAACAGATACTGATAAATGACTTCCCAATCCGGTGGTAGCAATACCAGGATCCTTTAGTTTCCTGGTCCCTGTGATCTCTGACTTAAGAATTCAAACAAGACACGCGGATTTAGTGTGGGAAACAGGTTGAGTTTCTTACACTACACTGTTGGAGCTGGAGAGATGGCCCAGTGGTTGTTCTGGCAGAGGATTCTGGTTCTTATTCGATTCTTATTGCCCACGTGGTGACTCACAATCATCTGTAACTCTGACTCCAGAGGACCTGACACCCTCTTCCGGCTTCCTATGGTACCAGGCTTCTTATTAACTCTTATAACTTATATTAGCCCATTATTCTTGTCTATGTTAGCCACATGGCTCAGTACCTTTTTCAGCGAGGCAGTCACATCTTGCTTCTTCTGTGTTTGGGCCGGGACTGGCTAATCCTTTGTTTTACAGTCTATCGACTCTGAGTGAGGGGTCCTGCCCCAAAGTCCTCCAAGCCTGCTAATATCTAACTAGCTACCTGGCAGAGGAACATGTTTCTGCTTTCTTCTGGCTTTTACTGCTTTTCATACGTGTTCCGATTAGAAGAGAGCCTCTTGGGTAAATGTCCTTTACTATGGCGATTTGTGATGCAAGAGCTCCATTTCCAAAAGGATTAAAAGTTTTCTCTTTCGGATGTTCTTTTATGACCATCTCTTGGCTGACTTTGTATTTTGTTTTAATATTTTTCATCACATTTATTTACTCTGTGTGTGTGTGTGTGTGCCTGTGCACATTCAACCATGCCGTGGTACATGTGTGGAGGTAAGAGGACAATCCCATGGAGCCTATTCTGTCCACCTACTTTGATGTGAGTTCTGGGTACCGAACACGTGTTGTAAGGCTTGCATGGCAAACACTTTACCTGCTGAGCCACCTCACTAGACTTGGGCTGACTCTCTTCGCCCACAGCTCAGCACCGCCGCTTATTTCTGAGTTCATATGTAGTGTCGTTGACTGTCTCTCCCACGTCTGTCATGTAAAGCTTGAATCAGTGGAAAGCTGGCTTGGAACATGCACACTCCAGTTTAAGTGAGATAGAAACCGATCCCATCAGGGATGACCGCGATTCCCGTCCTTTCTGCTGAGCTGCTGAGAAGCCTGGTGGCTCTGAGCTCAGACCCCATTTTATAATACTGAACAGGACAGGCCCTTACACACTGCTTCCTTTTTCTCTCCTAGATTGAAACCAAGATTTCCTTATCTACCCTGAGTGCTCTTGCGAGTCAGAGGATTGTAGACCTCGCCCACCCGAGGATCAAGATAGAAGGCCTGTGTTACGAGAGAGAGAAGAGTGAATTGCCCATCCGTCCCGTAAGCCACCCGGCCTCACTCATCGGCTGTCTTTCCAATTGGCCCTAAGATGTTATTTTGCCTCAACAAGGCATAGGAATCATCAGAACAGACCATCTTGAAAGCGGTCTGTAGCGGGAAGGGAGGCTGGTGATATGATAAGGGGAAAAGGCACAAGAGTAGAGGGCAAAGAACATGGACTTTGAAGTTAGCGGGCTGGGTGTGAGTCTGCCCTTTCCCAAGAACTCCCCACCGTGAGGACTGGCTGCTAGGCACCATCCTTATTTCACCAGTAAAGAAACAGTGAAGAGACCATTGGAAGACGTGCCTTTCAGAGTAAGACAAGAAGAGACTAGTTAGGCGCCGTATACTCATTTGGTACCTAATTAGGTAGGCACCAGAGCTTGGATTAGTTTCTGGCAAACAATCTTCCCTAGGTAGATTGGAAATATCGTAATGGAAAAAGCAGATGATAGGCAGGCAAATGAGTTTATACTGTAGACACATACTATGAGGACGATTAAATGAGCCAGGTGCACACAAACGTGTTCTCTCAGTGCTCAGGGGCCGGAGGCAGGAGGATCTCAGAGTTGAGGCAGAGTTGAGTTGAATCACATGAGCCGGGCACCAGGGCTTGTAAGGCTGTCTCAGACAGGCAGACGGTAGGATTATAAACACCGTAGAGAAGGTACATTAGGAAGGGTGGGCTGCAGGTCAGGAAGCCCTCCTTGAGGGTCTGATCTAGAGACAAGCGAGGAAACTGTATCTCAGCCCAAGAACGAGGAAAGATGTAGTCTGGGGAATTCTGGGATGGAGATTTGGATCTCTGTTTTTGCTACAGGTAGCCCCTGCTGCCCTGCTTGCCAAAGCTACTGACCGAACCATAAAGCTAGCAAAGTCTAAACCTGTTCATGAAGATTATCTCCCCGTCCGGGATGCCCGATGGCCTGTTTCCTATGCTGCTGCCCATTCTCAAGTGTCTAGCAGAATCCAGGAGCTAGCTAACCCCCCCACAAGGTATGCCAATTGAAGGCTAACATGGGACAGGAAGGGTTAGGGGTCTGGAGAAAAGGGTGGGGGAGGTTGATCTAAAGTTAAAAAACAAGCACAAAGGAAAAATTTTTAGGGGGTGGCAGAGCAAAACCTTTGGAATGTGATAGCATGCAGACCCTAGATCATGATAATGGCGGCTCTGTATAATCGAGGCGACAAAATCCCAACCAAACAATAATACCCTAGTGCTTCACGCGGGAGTGGGGCGTGCTTGGGAAATACCAGTTCTTCTCTCTCTTCTTAGTTCACATTGGTTTCTCTTCCTACTATTCCAGGGCTTCAGTGCACGTTGTATACTACGACCCAGACGTCTTTAAAGTCAAGCCTTCTGCTTTGAGAGCACAGTGTTCTCCCAGGGTCAAGGAGCTGGCTGAACCCGTTGTGCGCTAACGGCAACAATCTACCCGAGGTCAACACTAGTTATGGAGTTCCGCATCCGGCACGCGGAGCAGATGACTTGATTCCCTGCCTCGGTGTTTAGTCTTACCAAATCCTCCCAAATATGAGAGTTCCAGGGAACGCCACCATGAACGTCAGATAGGCGCTGTCTGTGATCTTTCTTGTCTTTACTAGCTTAGGGGACTCTGCCCTGCAATAAGGGGGAAACCAATGCTTGCTTCAAAATCCCTCCCACTCACGCAGGCATCTTGGCAGCTCCTGCGCTGTGCTGCGCAGAGGGCTTGTTTTCTCTCATCCTCCACCCCTGGCTGCCCCATTCTGTCTCCAGCCCTTCTCTACAAAGTCCTGGGAATTGAGGTTAGTCTCAGTGTTGCCTTGTCTATCTTCCTTCATCATCTGCAAAAACACCGACCCGAAGGGCTTCTTTGGATGAGACGAAATGGGTTTTGTAGTCTCTATTAGGGAGCCGTTGCTTGCCTTAACATCTTCACTGGTCTCCACTGCCTTGTTCCAGGCTCGCTGTGAAAGACAGAAAAAAGATACCCGCATGGTGAAGGTGTGCACCTATAATCCCAGCTACTGGGGAAGGCAGGGGAGGGAGGGTCGCCTGAGCTCAAGAGCTCAAGAACAGAATCCCATCTCAAAAAGATAAACAGGTTTTGTTTGTTTGGGTTGGGTTTTTTGTTTTGTTTTGTTGCTCTTTTGTGGGGAGTGGGGTTTGGTTTTTCTAGACAAGGTTTCTCTCTGTGTAGCTTTGGAGCCTATCCTGGAACTTGCTCTGTAGACCAGACTGGGCTCGAACTCAGAGATCTGCCTGCCTGGGTTTGTAGCACTCCTGGGCAGTGAAGCTTAAATCAATTCCTTCATTCCCTATCTCTGTTTCCTTACATATGAATAAGGTTCTTCCAACAATGTTGAAAAGATTAAATGGAAAAAAAAATACATATAATAAAGTGTGAATTTGAACTGAAATTTGTTTTTTTTTTTTAATTTCACTGTGTTTTCTGGGAGGGAGAAATGGCATAATTAATATCAAAAACATGACCTGATTTTTTTTGCCCCGTCAAGTGAATGTTGAGTGCTCTTTTAGGTGCTGGCCAAGGGGCAGGAGGTACAGCACAGGGAGCCAATGAGATGCCAGTTCTGTTCTCACGGCCTGTTCATATGCACGACATCCCCTTATAAAGAAGTGTAAAATGGCCATAGAACAGTGTCGTGAAACAACAGAACAGAGAGCTCCAGTCCCCTAGGAAAGCCAGGGAGCTTTTCTTCAAAGGAGAGACAGTTGAGCTGGAACCCGACTAACATCAGAGAGGACAGCAAGGCATTCCAGAGAGCGGGAATCTATGTTTCAGGGATGTACTTGAGTTTCGGGTCCTCGTTCAGCCAGTCTTAGCCCCCATTGGGGAACATCCGCTGTTTCCTTTCGAGGAGCTAGCGTCTTCTCATTCGTTTTACACGGGGTGATGGGCACATGGCTGAGGATTGGGACAGTGGTTGTCTGACATGTGCCAGGCCCCCGGTACAACCCCCCGGGAGCTGGAAAGACTGCTCAGTGATGAAGAACATTCCTTATGCTTGCAGAGGAGCCAGATCCAGTTCCCAGCACCCACGCGGCACCGCACCACTGCCTGTCACTCCGGTGCTGGGCCATCCGAGACCCTCTTCTGGCCTTACACAATGCATGTGATGATACATTTACTTACATACTAGCAAAGCATCCATACATATGAAAGAAAGTAAAATCTTCAAAAGAAAAAAAAACATAGACAAGTAACAAAGTTTTATGGGGTTGGGCGTAGTGGTACACGCCTTTAATCCCAGCACTTGGGAGGTAGAGGCAGGAGGATCTCTCTGAGTTTGAGGTCAACCCCTGGTCTAAATATCAAGCTTCAGTTTACCAGGATTATATAAGAGACTTTTAAAATAAAAATAAAAACAAAAAAAAACCAATTATGGTGACTTTTCTTCAAAGTGGCGTAGTAAAAGGATGGGCACATGCCCGGGCCATCCAGGCCTAGTGCCGTTGTCTCAGACTTTAGGTCCTGAGTAGCACAATGCAAGGATGGAAGTGACATCCCTAGGGGTTCGACGCTGAGACTCCTCTCAGTTCCTTGCGCTCATCCTCCCCCCCCCCTTCCCTTGATTCGGGAACTGCCTACAGCCTTCTAGAAGATCCTCTGCAGAGAGCGGATTGTAGGCTGAAAGAATGTCAGCTTCCTCCAACAGAAAGGGCTGCAAAATGGGACTCTGGAGGTCAAGTTGAGCATTTTAGTCTCCATCCTAAAGGCAATGGAAAGCTGCTGAGTTAAGTAAATTATGTAGATGAGGGGACAGAATATCTTTGGTCCTTATAAGTCATGACTGGGCTCTGGGCAGAGAGAGCAGGATGCTTTCTCTCACTGCCTTAGCTTCATCTCAGCCAGTGTGTTAATGTAGTAACTGCCCAGGTCCTGGGGGCAGATGTTCCCAGTCTCTTGTGGACATCTGAAAATGAGGAGAGTGCCAAACCATTTATGCTTTTTCTATGGATGAATAGATATGAGAACATTTATTTTTTTTATTTTTTTTTAAATGTGTAGCCCAGGCTGGCCTCAAACTCGTGATCCGCCTGCCTCTGCCCCCTTCAGCAAATCTTACCGGCGTGCACCACCACAACCAGCCATTTAATTTATTTTTATTATTATTATTTTGGCTAATTTTTTTCCTTTCAGACGGTCTATGTAGCCCTGGCAGTACTGGAACAAACTATGTAGGTAAAGCTGGCCTCAAACTCATAGAGATCTACCTGCCTCTTCCTCTTGAGTGTTGGGATTAAAGACATGCACCGCCAGGCCATAAGAAAGTTTAGTTTACACCAGGCAGTGGTAGGTGGTAGCACATGCCAGGGAGGCAGAAGCTGGCAGATCTCTGAGTTCAAGGCCAACCTGGTCTACAGAGATAGTTCCAGGACAGCCAGGGCTACACAGAGAAACCCTGTCTCAAAAAATATATATATATAAAAACAAAAAAAAGAAAGAAAAAGTTTAATTTATAAAGTAGCCATCATAAGTGACAGCAATAGGTAATATTACCACAGAACATTATAACATGATGCTATTAGTGTGATCGCTCCCTCTCTATAGCTCTCAGAATATTTTTGTACGTAGTCTCTCTTCTTGTGATGACGTGAGTTGGTCCAGTGTCTCCATGATGAGATGAAGCTTCAAGAATGCAGGCGTGAGGCATAGCACGAGGCTGCTACTGGTCTTCTGATATGTCAGGAAGGCAGCAACTACTCTAGATTATCCTGTATGTATTTTTCTATTTAGTTAGAAACAGTTACCTTTTTGCTTAAAGGAAGCCTGTTACATATTCTCTTTAGCACATTTAAATGTCCCATGTCACTTTTCTTATACTCTGGGGATATGACTGAGCAAAATAAGGATTGCCTGAAGACAAATACTCTGATACCACAAGGACAGTCTGTAACCAAGATGGGTATTAGGTGACTAACAGATGCGTAACACATATGATATGATCTGGTGGATACACCAGATACAAAAGTAAACTGTATCTCTGGCTGAAGGACACCGATGGGAGTGGGGAGGCTGGTGGGGGAAATTATGAGAGGTTATTTCAATACTCAGAATAGCAGACAGTAAGAAACGTGCAAATTGTTTACTACTGGGATTCTCTGTCTAATAACTTTGCAAAATGAAATCATAGATTATGAAGCTAGAATAAGCTAGCAGAAGGAAAGACTGCACACAGTCTTGGCTTACAAAACGGGGAAAGTGGAATGGTTTTGCCAGCTGTTGTCTGCTCTCTGCGGGCTTGGGGACACAGGTTTTGCTTTGGTAGAAAGAGCAGGTAACACTTCTTCATTAGCCCCCTATCGGTTTTCTTATACCCACCCAGGGTCAGCCAGTAAGAACTGCATGTTTGGAGTAGAGAAGTGTGTTGGTCACGACAGGTTCAGCTCTCCTACTTTGGTAGACTCTTCTTTCCTGCTGAAGAAGCCTGTGAGTTCTGTCTTTTGGTTTGTTTGCGAGACAGGGTTTCTCTGTGTAGTTTTGGAGCCTGTCCTGGAACTCGCTTTGTAGACCAGGCTGGCCTCGAACTCACAGAGATCCATCTATCTCTGCCTTCCAAGTGATGGGATTAAAGGCATGCACCACCATGCCTGTGAATTCTAAAGGGCTTGTCTGAGGAGGTCCTGGCCACTGGCCTGCTTTGGCAACAACTATACCAGGGGCTGTGAGGAAAGGGTGCCTGAAGACATTCATTCTTTCAGACTTCGTGTGCATTTTCCTTTTCCATCTGGGAGGTGTTCCCAGGAGAAAGAATGCTCCCACCCACCGTGGCATGCACCTGCCTGCCTTTCTGGTTCCTATGGCTAAGGTGTGTCCTGCTAGGACTTCTCAGATGATGAGCATCCTGGGAGGGTTGCAAGAGAGCGTCAAGAGAGTGTTGGCATCTAGCCAGGGATAGGGGAAGATGGCTGTAGGGAGTGGAGATCGGGGAAACAGAAACCTTCAGGATAAGTGGGCAGTGAGCCACACCCAGGTGCCAGGAACACAGTGGCCACGGGTAGACAGCTTCGTGGAATGAACCGTAATGCCTAAGCTTGCATACATTCCTTGAGACTTGAAGAGTTTGAAAGCGCCCCCTCCCTTCCTGGCTTCATCAGACTTAAAACATGGCCAGTGTCAGGGGTCCGCTGTAAATTCAGGGATGGTTCCCACATGCTTGGCCGTTTATAGAGAAAAAAAAAAAACTGTATCATGTGACTTCAAATGTTCCAGGGAAGCAATGTAGATATATGAGTAGAACAGCACATTATGACTCTATGTCTAACCCCTCTGGGCCTCCATTTTATCACCAATAAAATGGAAGCAAAATAAATTCTGGCTCCAAAAGACCACCATGTAGCTTTGGAACAGAGCAACGTGGAGCTAACAGTTTGCTGAGGTACAATGCATCGAGGCAGCGTTAAAGAGTGCAAAGGTTTTCCCCTCTTGGAGTAGTTTAGACCAAGAGTGAGCCCAAATCTGAATTCGACACACTGTGTTTTTTTCTCTGTTCTGTTGTCTGTCCATCATCTGTTTATTGTGTGTGTCTGGTGTCTGCGGCTGTGAATTGATGCCAGGACCACGCCAGCTCTTCTAAAGGACAATGCCTCCTGTGACCGGGCTGGCTTACAGGTGCAACCGTTTAGTCCATTACTGTCATGGCAGGAAGCATGGCAGCACACAGGCAGACGTGGCCCTGAAGAAGTAGCTGAGAGTCCTACATCTGAACAGGCAAGAAGCAGGAAGAGAGAGTAACACCAGGCCTGGCTTGAGCTTTTGAAACTTTAAAGACCACCACCTGTGACCGGCTCCCTCTAATAAGGCCACTCCTACTCCAACAAGGCCACACCTCCAATGCCACTCCCTGTGAGTTTATGGGAGGCCTTCTCATTCAAAACACAACAGATATTTGCTAAGTTTTTATTTATTTTTTATTTATTTATCTATTTTTTATTTTGGAAACTGAGTCTCTCTAGGTAGCCGTGGTTGGCCTGGAACTCACCG